CAATAATTGTTAAATACGAAGGTGTTTCGTCTTTTACTCAAGTAAGAATGGTTATGCCAAACTGGCAAATTAAGTTAGGCCAAATAGTTCCATGAAGTGATGGGATTTAGAACCAAAGTAGAGTACCAAAGAACTCATTCTGAACTAAGCATTTTCGCTAATACAAATTTTGAGGGGAAAGCAATTTATGTAGTAAAATTTATAAAATACTTGAATAAATGTCCCCCGACACCTTTGCTTTTATGCATGTTAATTCAAAACTATTTGTTTAAAAATTAAACAGTGGTAATTTTAATTTGAATTATGAAATAGAACTCACAGTAATTGAAATAAACATTAGAAAATTAAGAAACATAATGCTATCTTTGCAAAAACAAATCAAATAATAAAAATTGAAAAATTAATATATCCTAATGTAAATAAATAAAAAAATGTGAAAAGTACATGAAGATATAAAAGGACAGAAAATGCATTAATTAACTTTCTTTCTAGTGGGATGTCGGTAAAGTGTTCTCTTCGGTGTCTGACTCAGAAGGGGTGTGTGTCCGAAATTCCGTTATCGGCAGCGGGGATACTTTGAATTATTTCAGGCAGCGAAACTTGTGAGAAGCAATTTATGGGACATGGGAGGATCTATGAATGCTTGAGGGACGTTTGGTGCGGAGTTCTTATGTGATAAAATTTTGTCACATAAGATAAATTTTTGATGTCAGTTGCTTATTTTTTAGGAAATTTAACTTCGTCTGATAAAATTTTGAATATACTAACTAGTCAATGGAAATTAATTAATTTCTGGCTAATTGTCGTGTCGGAACGAGGGAGAAATTTAGAAAAGGAAAAAAGTAATTTTCACTGTCAACGAGCTATTTGACAGACTAAAGATTATGAAATAGGCTCATTTTTTTAGTAACAGCATAAGAAAAGTCTGAAAACAATTAGCTTTTTACATTATATATAATTTTGTAATTACACTATGTACAAATCCTCCAACTGATAGTCATCCAACTTAAAACTTAAAACCGCCTTTTCAGGTTTAGGAACAAATTATCATGTCCCTAACAGTTAAATGATTTAGAGTGATTATTTAACGCCTGCTCTTTTAAGACAATGGTTAATAAATCGATTAGGTATTATATTATTTTTTGAAAATTTTAATAAGGAGCAAAATTTCGTGTTGTAGATCTATCGTATCTGTGCAAATATTTTTAATATGTTGTATTTGATTTATTATTGCATTACTAATAACTTTTTTGGAGATGTTGGAAGTCCAATTTATTAATTTGTTAGTACGGAAACTGAAGTTTCTTGTTTTGTCAAACAGTAAAATTTTTTTATAGTTAATGATTTGAAAATCGTGATAGTCGATGTTATTTTGCGAATTATTAGTTTCATTAAGTGTAAGGCATTCTGGATAAATCTCGGAGTATTCAATCTTATTAAAATTATTAAATGTAATAAGATCATCTATATATCTGTAAGTGTGCTTGTAGTAACTTAATTCTTGCTGTTGTAAATTTTTCTGGAAATTAAATTCTTTGATAAATAAAAAGAGATTACAGATCGAGGTACTGGATTGGTAGCCCATTGGAAGTCCTCTGACTTGTTTAAAAAGTTGATTCTGAAATTTAATGTAGTTATGAAAAAGTGTGCATTTTAGGTAGGTTATCCATTTACTAAGATTTATAATCGTGAGCATAGCAGGGAAAAGTTTAGGCAGATCTAGTAGACTAGTATAAATTTCTTCTAAAGGAAGTGAGGTATATAAGTTTTCATAGCAGTTAATGTTTTATATGTCAATTGTTTGAATGGCATTAATGACAGGAGTGTTATTATGGATGATCCAGCAATAGTTATGATTAGTGTTACAATCGTTGAAAATAAATTTACAAAATGTTTTAAGTTGAATTGAAAAATAATAGTCTACATTTTTCTTGTAGTTATTAGTTCTATTTGCTATAAATCTGAATTTTAATGGTGTTTTATGGAATTTGGGAAGTGCATAGAGGTTAGTAAATCTGTTGTAGCTTGGAGTTAAAGAGATATTTAGTTTTTTATGAAAAGTTTTAATTCTGTTTATTACAGATGTTTCTGTAAGGTTTGCTAATGTTTTTTCATTAATATGTATATTTCATTCATATGGAGAGAGATGTAGTAGAAAGTTCATCGAGACCAAGAGGACAAGACTGCTGACTGATAGTTTGACCTAACAAATAGGGTTCACAGTTACATAATACGTAATGTAAATATGAGCCAGTTTTCCTTAGAATGTGCTTCCTGAAGGCATCCATCCGCTTGAGCAGACAACCTCATGTGCACATAGAGTGGGATGATATTAGATTTATCTTTCTTGATGAGAAATGCGTTAATGCATATTACAACAAACCATAAATCATAAAAATTGAGATTAATGATTTGCTTAACTGTTGTATGATACACAATTCTTTTCTGCCATATCCAAATGCTAAACTAAAAAGCTAAAAAATGGTAAGGATTTCCTTTCTATTTTTTATTTATTTAAGGATTATTTATCAAAAGTTGCCATAAAAACTATTAAATAACAACACAAACAAGAATAACAGACAATAAAAACTTTTATTCAACAATAATAAAATGTTATAAAACAGTAAACATACTATGACACCTGTTAAAGATATTTAAAAGGGGCGGTACACAATTTTCCCCTTAATGGATAAAGCTTTGCTACCTATCCTAATTTTCCTTTATAATTTCATTAAAAATAATTCTCATGTGATTACAGATATCTTCAACAGGTTTCATTAATTCTCATGTGAATACAGATATCTTCAACAGGTTTCATTAGTTTCCAAAAATTATATGTATATGCATTATAGCTATTCTGATGATGAGAACATAATAAAATTAAGAGCATTAATAAAAAGTCTTCTGACAACTTTTTTCACTGTGTAAGACGAATTCAAACGAAAACAACACAAAGAAACAAGATGTAGTGTATCACAATGTATTATGTAATGAATATTACTGCTTCTTTATAAAGATGCAAAAGAAAAATTTAATTGGTTATGAAGAAACTTTCATCAGTAATGGAAAGTAACAGTCCAGGTATAAGGCTTTACTTTATTCTAACCAGTTATTTTTAGTTGAACTTTCCTGTTTATAATGATTTCAGTTTCCTGCCGGAATGCAAATTTTTGTATGACGTAGATGTAATTTCTCAACGTGTTTCAGAAGCAGTATTTAAGCTGCGCTTCAAGAGTTCAAAAGAGTAATAGCAGACTTAGTTCCGATGTTTATGCTGCGAGATTAAAATTAGCTTTCTAGTTCGGTGTTTGACAACTTTCAGTTTATACTGATATTCCTCGGCTTTGATTTGCTGCGTGCAGTCGATTTAGCGTTAGTTTAAGCTAAGGAGACAGACATTAGAATTCTCAATTTATTAGTGATTTGTTATATTCTATTTTCCATTACGTAGCCACAAGTGGAGGGGATTTGTAAGCACGAAGTTTGTGCACCTGTTATAATTTTGTTCTTCAAGACATAGCGAGAATTCGTTCTTAGTCTTCCACATAGGGTATAAGAGTTTATGCTTCCAAAGAGTACACGCAAACTCTATAACTGGCACCCGAAACAATATAGGACAATGGAAACCTCTACAAGTGACCTAGCCCCATCCACGTCTACAGAACCGGTGACTCATGCTAACCCTATGGAAGGTTTTGGCTAGATTGTCAACACCATGGGAGCTTCATTGAGGCCCCAGTGTCTAAGGTTCAGCAGCACCTTTTATGGACTAGCTGGACGACCATTTCATTTTGTATCCAGTGGACGAAATCCAGAAAGTAGCAATTTCAACTTCAGTCCTTCAAAAACAAGCCTTGAGTTGGTAGAAAGGCATCGGCATGTTTCTACTGGGAAAAACCAGATACGCCAACGTACACATACGAAAACTTTAACACGCCCTTCTAAAAACCTTTCCAGTCGTAAAGAATCGTGTGCGGTTAGAAGCCGAACTATACAGCTGTTACCAGATGAACGGGGAAGATCTCAGAAGCTTCATTCTATGTAAAATCCAAGGGGTTAAACTATTGTATGGAAGGAAACCTGACGAGGGAGTAATTCAAATCATCTTGCCAAGATGACTCAAATCAGCGCAAGACTTTATAGAAATAAGAAATTCGTCGACGTTGGAAAATCTATTTGAGCTGGCCACAAAATACGAAAGCCACCGCATTTCAAACAATGAACGCACGCAGATATATCGGCAATAGTATAGAAATTTCCACACGCCTAAAAGCCAGACGAACGACGGGAGCGGAACTTCGACCGCAAGAAAGAATTTTCGCCAAAGAGAAATAAATTCAAAAAAGCAGATAAACAACGAAAGAAAGAAACCAAAACCCAAGGCGTTAAAACTTCAGATGGGAGCTGGAAAAATGCGAGGTCAGTGGCCCCAGGAAGGGAAAAACTCCCAAATGCATCTGAATACGGTAGTGGTTAAAAATGTACAATTATCGGAAGCTCAAATTCTGTTAAACAACGTACCGGCCATCGCACTAATTGATACGGGAGCATAGAGTAGTTTTCTGGGGAAAATGTTTTAGGCAGAATTTCCAACGTTACAGTTTATACAACACCGAGGGCACAGCGGTGATTGTAGCTCAAGGAATAGGTGCTCTTGCACCTATTCCTTGAGAAAACTACAGCCATACGTGCAAGTAAAAGGTGAGCAATTGAAAGGTACCTTCTTTAGAGTTAAGAATTTGCAAGTAAATGTCATTTTAGGTATGGACTACCTCAAAGCAGCGGAAGCAAGAATAAATTTTCAAGAGACCACCATCACGCTGGACATGGCGAAGACAAAATCTGAGGAAATGAATCCTCCAGCGCTGGGGCTAAATAATTTGAAAGAGGACGAAAAAGAAGAAAAGCTTCAAGTGTTTTAAAGAAATTTTGCAGATTTATTTAGTGACCAACCTGGCCTCACACACGCTGTAAACTACTTGGTAGGTATTGGGGATAATTTAAGCTGTAGGGCTAAGCCTTACGCTAATTAGACGCTTTAGTTTGAAATCTGGAAGCTCTTTCCAAGGTACGAAATTTGAAGCGGGTATCGCCGCATTTTTGAAATATGATCCAAAATCGAGATCTGTTTTTAAAGCCATATTAATGTGTTCATGGCGAATTCTCTTTGCTCCCTCTCTGCGTGCAGTGACTAAAGACACTTGAAGAATTTCAGCCACGACGTACTTGAGGACAGCAGCCAAGAACACTACGCTTTCGTCACTCATTAGACCGACATATTTCCCTACTTTCAACATCTCCTTGACGCGAGGAACAGACATGGTAAGATTGCTCATCTCTGTTTTATACCTCCTTTGACTTGATGCAGAAGGAACGCTGCTTTTTCTTTTCGGCATAAGCAGAAGTCTATGATCAACTCCCTCTTTTTCAACAAAACTATCAACAGAATGATCAAATTTCACGATCTTCTTAGAGATTTCATCTTACAGCTCGAAGTTTTCATTCATAAATCTGAGTCTTCTTTTCTTGAAGTATATTGGAACAAATTTAAGTACGATAATAAATTTTAGTTATAAAAATCTAAAATTTTACAGATGTATAATGTTGATCTAAAATTTTACAGATGTATAATGTTGATCTAAAATTTTACAGATGTATAATGTTGATCTAAAATTTTACAGATGTATAATGTTGATCTAAAATTTTACAGATGTATAATGTTGATCTAAAATTTTACAGATGTATAATGTTGATCTAAAATTTTACAGATGTATAATGTTGATCTAAAATTTACAGATGTATAATGTTGATTTTTATAACTAAAATTTATTATCGTACTTAAATTTGTTCCAATATACTTCAAGAAAAGAAGACTCTCAGATTTATGAATGAAAACTTCGAGCTGTAAGATGAAATCTTTAAGGAGATTGTGAGATTTGATCATTATGTTGATAGTTTTGTTGAAGAAAAGAGGGAGTTGATTATAGACTTCTGCTTATGCCGAAAAGAAAAAGCAGCGTTCCTTCTGCATCAAGTCAAAGGAGGTATAAAATAGAGATGAGCAATCTTAAAAAAAAAAAAAAAAAAAAAAAAAAAAAAAAAAAAAAAAAAAAAAAAAAAAAATCATGTCTGTTCCTCGCATCAAGGAGATGTTGAAAGTAGGGAAATATGTCAGTCTAATGAGTGATAAAAGCGTAGTGTTCTTGGCTGCTGTCCTCGAGTATGTAGTGGCTGAAATTCTTCGAATGTCTTTGGTCACTGCACGCAGAGAGGGAGCAAAGAGATTTCGCCATGAACACATTAATATGGCTTTAAAAACAGATCTCGATTTTGGATCATATTTCAAAAATGCGGCGATACCCGCTTCAAATTTCGTACCTTGGGAAGAGCTTCCAGATTTCAAACTAAAGCGTCTAATTACCTTAAAGAAAAAAACGGAAATGGTTCAGAAAAGAGAAGAATTAAAAGTAGGTGTATGAAAAATTTTCAAGAAAGAAATAGTAAAATTAACCTAGAGTGTGATACTATAATGGATAAAATTATACTTTAAATTATCTGTCTCCGTGAACTTAGAATAAAATTTATGTTTTACTAAGAAGCTGATCTGTTCTTTATTTAAATACTGCAGAACACTTTACAGTTTTATAAAAATTGGAGGTTCGGTTGATCAGCTCGAGTTTGCATTACGTACAATGATACACGAAATGACTGGTAAAACGCCTGCGGATTTATTTCTAGGAAGGAAAATAATGGCAACCCTCGATTGACTATTTTTTGTGCAAAAACATGTTCCGGAGTTTCAAATGTCGGATATAAAGAACTTAGTCGATGGGGCCATTAAATCTTCTGACATAGCAAGAAGTAAACAAAAACTATTATGACAAAAGACGGCGGGAAAGAAATTTTAAAGCAAGGGAAATGGTATTAAAACTGAAACATAATATATCCTGTGCTCCCGATGCAAAATTAGCAAAATTTTGCCCAAAATTTGAGGGGCGTTTAGTATTCAAAGTATTAGAGAAACAACATTGATTCTTAAAAATGCCAATGGTGAAGAATCAAAAGCCAACGGCGAACAGATAAAAAAATATTACGATCGTTCTGAAATGACTCTTCTTAAAGATTTATTGCAGAGTTCCACTGAAGCCGATGGTAGTAGATCTCGAAGCCAAGTACAGGCAGCGGCAGGCCAAATACAGCTTCTAGACGTGGTTTCTAAGAGGAAAGCCAACGGGACTCTGGCTAAGCAGCTTATGAGGCATAAAGCCAATGCGGGAAAGGAAAGAAAAAAGGAACAAGGCCAGGAGAAGGAGCTAGTGAAAAGAAAAAAAGACTGGAACAGTCTTCAACGCCGGTCAGCAAACAACAGGGTTGCCATCAGCGTTTCGCGGAAGGAAAGCCTCAGCACGCTACGAAGCAACGACAGCGGCCAAGTCAGCTGGTGGAACCCCTGGCCGCTGGCCATCACACATCAGAGGGTTCTCCACGAAGGCGAACAGGCAGCAAAACGTACGGTATCCCACCCCAGTCCATTGATAACGTGTCCGTCTCCATGATGTGTCCGCAGGGGAAGAAAAGACACCCGTCAGGAGAATAATTGCCCTTGGAAGTCAAGACGGATCGAGGAGCGTGACAACAAAAGGAAGTTCAAGCCTACATCTGAGGAACACCGGCCATCCAGACAGCAGCGTTTTGCAACTGCAAAGAACATTTCCGTCCTGGGAGGAATTTCGCCTCAAACGGATGAGTGAATAAAAGATAAGTAAAATTTAACTTTATTTTCAAGTATCCAGTACTGTTATGTTCAAAAATATTATAAGTGCTTGTTAAGAATTAGCTAAATATTATATTTTTAACATTTCTCTATTTTTCCTACATTAGCATTGTTTCAAATTATTTAAGACAACTGATTTAGATAAAATGCAAATAATATTGCAAACAGACTAACAAATAAATACATTTTCACATCTGGTGGTATAAACAAGCTATTTTATTTAAAAATGATATTTTAAATTCTAAGTGCAGTTATTCGCCCGGTATGTGAATTAATTTATATATATATACTGAAGCACGTTTACAGTGATGCGTGAAAATCAATTATCAACCCAATATAACGGCATAAAATAACTTAATTTATTTATATAAATAAAGATCCTGATAGAAACATTTTTTAAAATTAACTTTTGAATGAAATTTGCTAACTTAAAGCTCACAGAGCTTGTAAAATATGTGAAATGAAATCAACATATCTGAATAATATTACACATTGACATAAATATCATTGCATATTAAAATAAGTTAGTTTACAGTTTTTCATTTATTGTGTCACATTTAGACTCTCATTCACGAAATTATTCATGAATCTCATTCATGTTATTTTAGAAGGAGTACTCTTAGGTATTTCCAGTTTTCATAGATTTCAGGTGACATTTTTCAATGTGTAATATCAGTTTTAAAAGGAGAAACATGTTTTTTTTTTACATATTTTCGTATACTCTTTTACATAGGAACATTAAAAAACTGCATGTAATGAAATAAATAGTTAACACACATAAATGTAACTCAGATATATTAAACAAAAATATGCTGCCTTCATCACATAAAAATTTTTTGTGAGATTAAAAACATGATTCCTTTTTTACAGAAAAAAATGAAAAATAAAAACGAGAGAAAGAACACATCTATTAAAAAAAATTCCTCCCTGAAAGATCTCTTTACTGGCACAAATAGGCAGTTTATTACCGCAATTTCATCGTACCTTTCAATGAAAATGAATAGTTCATGAATAAGTTGATTTAATCATGAGTATTTGGCATTTTATTTTTATAACTGAATTCTCGTCCTCAAAAATTTTCCTATCATTACCATAGCCACCAGGAGCATCCACTGAATATCAAGCCTGGCAGCGTAGCTGAAATATGGGCAGTATGGGCACTGATAAGAACCACAAACTTCACAGATATTCAAAACATACAACTCAAAGTCTTCATAAATTACTTCTTTATATCGCTCTGAAAGAAAGAAACAAACATTGAGCATTTTAAAAATTTTAAAACATTAAGGATGAAATCAATGGAAAGAATCTTCAACAAGGTAAAATTTACATGTGGTGTAGATGTTTGAAATTCACACAATTTAAAAATATAACAACAATATATTAGTTTTTTTTTATCAAAAAAGGACTATACTACTATAAAAATATGTGACCTTTTTTTAAGTATTTAAGAATACTTTGAAAGCTTAAAATAATATAACAGTAATGAACAGTTAATTCATACCAGCGATTCCCAGGCTATCCACCACAGAGCCTTAAGCAATCGTGAAATATTCCCGTGATGCACTTTCATAGAACTCATACCTTTTAGTCTTTGAGCTTTTAAAATCTGACTAGCAATGTCCTGATGCTACCGTAGAAATAATAGCTAAGAAACTATGCAACCGTTTCTGAAAAGCATTCGCTAACTTATCAAATGGTTTAAAATTTATTTTCAGTAAGATAATGCCAACAAATTCGTGTGGCTTCAGGGCCTTTTCAGAGCTCCCTCTGCGACAAAGTTCCCTCTAAATTTATTTTTGTCGAAGAAAATCTTGAGCTGTCTTGCAATAATATACTTTAAACAAAACTGGACAGCAGGAAACTTTTGGAAAGCATTAAAAAAAGAAAATTCTACAAAAAAGAAAATGACATCATATATAAGCAAAGTTGGATTTTCGTTTGTCGCGTTGAAAAACGCAAGAATTATAAAATTATAAATTTTGATTATGTGTTTCAGTTTTTTTTTAATTTAACCAACTCATCAGCATCAAATGTAAACTGTAAATATTATTTAAGGCTAATGTTATTACTTTGAGCGCCATACAAAAATTCTGATACACTAAAGCCACAGCAAATCGAACATGTTTGGAAATCACATTTTAAATATAATTTACACAGATTTAGATTTGTGCGCATAACTACGTATATAAACTTCTTTATTTTTAACTATTAGTATTCTTCAACTTCCTTGGATACCCGAATATTCAGTGCGTGTCAAAACTGTTTTCATAAAATTATATACTTTATTTTGAGACAATTTGTAACTTTAAAACATTTCTAGGATCAACATTTAAGGAATCAAACCACCACAGTCCCCTTTTCTCAGCATCAAGAAATGATACTAAGCTATTAGGAATTTGATTTCAGAATTTGAAAAATTCTTCCGTTCTCGGTATGAAGCATTTTAAAAATTTTAAAACATTAAGGATGAAATCAATGGAAAGAATCTTCAACAAGGTAAAATTTACATGTGGTGAAGTTGTGAGAAATGATAAAAATCAACTTCCTTTTTTCATTAGTTAAATTTTTCTACATATTATGATCTACTTAAAGTGAAGTTATTTATTTTTCAAAGAATGAATTATTACATTATTAATATAAGCAAACAAAACATTCAATTAAATTATGACAGAAAATTTACCTGGTATATAGTAATCATATACTCTTGCTTTTAGGTACCTAGTCATATTTGCTACCGGATACCATCTCTGTATTGTGAAATTGACACACGACCAAGATGTGTCTAGCTGCAAATTGAAATAATTAAAAGATAAACACACACACACACACACACACACACATATAATATATATATATATATATATATATAATTCTAACTTTAATATTCAATAGTCCATTAACTCTCTATTTTAATTTGGTTGCTTTCCTTTCCATCCTAAAACACTAATTGCTTAAAATAATCTTCTCTAAATTTCATCATTTCAAAATTAATCGCTAATGTTTTATAGACTTTCTATATATAAATTTACTGGTTACGTATATCAAAAATGAAAATAATATAAAGTTGGCTGTTACTGATATCATTATTAAAATAACTACGTCTTGCATCTACATAATTTCAACATTTCAAATTATTCCACATATGTAAATGTTACATAATTTTTAAACATATAAATTATGATGAATTTAAATTATATAAACTTACATAATCAAACATAAAAACGGCAGATTTGGGATATACACGCCCTCTCTGAAGACGAGGGACTGCTCTGCTATATACATATTTATCCATCTCAGGCTTATGAATAAAATAACCAGTAGGGAGGGATATTTCTACAACAGCTACACCACTTGTTTCGCTTTCTTCTGTATATGTCCATCTTACAAAATAAGAAAAATACTTAAGCATATATATATTGTAAACTTATCTTACTTTAGCGCATAAACTATTTTCTGTTATAATATTACAGATAAACATTTTAAAGTTTATTATATGATTTTACAAGTAAACATATTCAAAATTACAAGTGAATATTTATTACATAAAATTTCAGCTCACTAATTTTAATTTTGAGAAGTCTTTACTGATTATATCATACTAATATTCATTTCAGATAACTTACTTCGCACAGCTTTTAATATTCATATGAGATTTATTTCTTCCGTGGTAATAACTCTTCACATTTAAATCAAATGCTGGTACAGGCGGCTGAATGAGAAGAAACTCTTTATCCACATTATATTGAACATCCATTTGAAGGACAGATAAACCAGCCCCTTGAGCTAAAACTTCAGCATGGCCCCAGACATTTGGTGCTATCTATAACAGACAGAAATAGGACATATTAAAATCATATATTTTTAATGATGTAGGCCTATTCAAATTATATAGCCCAAGAAAAATTCTCTTAATTACATTTAACTTCGTCTAGTTGGGGGATCACAAAAATTTATTTTCAATTTTATATTATTGCATTCGTTATCAAATACGATCTTTCACAATTAAAAGACACATATGCTAAGCATGTTGAATTTTCCCTTTCCTTTTGCTCTCTATATTCATTAATCTCTTCTTAAGCAAGCTTTTACATATACACTCTTTTGCAAAAAAATCGAAGCACCATGATGGAAGTGGTTGTTTTTGATGAAATTGAATATGTGTACAGCTCATACACAGATAATAAAATGATTAAAAAATCAAGGTTATAGTACCTGTTCACGGCTCACAAATCACCCATTGAGTGTTCAAATTAGTAGTTGGTCGAACCACTCCTGGTGGCAATGCATGCTTTAATTTGTCGAGGCAAGGAATGGCAGAGGTTCCTAATGTCATCCTGCGACACATTCTGCCAGACATTCATCAGTTGTTGTTCCAGATCTGCGATATTTTGTGGTGCCGAATCTGGCGGCCTACCATGCTCCAGACATGCTCGATTGGTGAAAGGTCTGGTGACCTTGCTGGCCAAGGAAAAGTATCAACAGGACGGACACAGTCCAGAGATATGCGAGAGGTATGTGGCCTGGCGGAAAAGGGCCCCAGGCTGACGTGCCATGAAGGGTAATACAACCGGCTGTAGGATGGTATCAACATGTCGCTGAGCTGTTAAAGATGTACCGAGGGTGACTAAAGATGACATGCTGTGATAAGAAATAGCGCCCCAGACCATCGCACCAGGTGTCATGGCTGTATGCCTTTGTGAACAAAGGCTGATTGGGACCGCTGGCCCCGTCCTCTCCGGACATGAACACGGTGGTCCTCTGCTTCAAGAGTGAAGCGGGATTCATCTCTGAACACTATATGATGCCAGTCTGATGATCGGCTGCGACACCACTCCAGACGGATCTGCCTATATTGTGGGGTCAAAGGCAAACGTCTTAAAGGTATCTGTGAGCGTAACACCGCCTCAGACAAGCGTCGTGAGATGGTGAACGGTACCACAGGAGGTATATATGTGGATGTAGTGCGTTGAATAGTCGATAATGATACCAGTTAACAACGACAAACGCTGATACGTGATTTGATAACTGTTCTTTTTCTTTTATAATTTTTAATTTATGTAAATAAATCGTAATTTAATAATAACCGGACGAGTTTTAGTGATGCTTTTCTTATAGGAAAATATTAACTTTTTCCCTAAAACTTAACTAAATTTGTGAAAACAACATTTGTGAAAATAAATAAAACACTTTCCTTTAACCTTAAGGGTCAACGTTATATATACTTTAGAATACTTGTATTTATTTTAGAATTAGGATATTAACTCAAAACGTCAACCAAAATATCACATACTATTGAACGCAGTCATTAATCTAATGTTGGAGATAATACATCGAAAAAGCAACACTGTAAATAAGTGAGCTAAAAACAATCAATGTTTAAAATTTAAAAAGTACTGAACACTTGAAAAATTCACATATGGACAAAACATAACACATATGAATAATAAAATTTTGCATATATTTTCTCAACGAAAGATTATACTTACTGGTACTTTTCTTTGTTCTGCCAGATTATTAGTTTCAATAATCATTGAGTGAATAAAGCCAGCATTAGAACTGGACTCCACAGAAACTTTCATGCTTGTAATATCTCTCACATGAGTTCGAAAAGAATATTCAATTAGAGCTTGCATTGCCACAATTGTATCCTACAATAAATGTCATTTATTTATCTATTAAGCATTAATTATACTTACGTGTACTAAACATTTTGTGTAAACTATACTTATGTGCGCTAAACAATACTGCAGATTGAAATTACAATGTATTTTCAAGAAAACTTACAAATATGTTCCCGAATCAAAATTCTAAAATGTTTAAGGCATATCATGGATCAACCAATTTGTGCTGATAGTAGGTAAATGCATTCACAAATACACAAAACATTATGCTTTATTTGTTCAACTATTTAAGTAATGCTAATATTATCACATTTAAGGCATTAGGGTTTTAACATAACAGCGAAAATCCACCTAGCAAATAACCACTTGCAAAATTTATATTTTTCTATTTTCATCCGCTTATTTCTTCACACAAATTTTACCAGGAAAATGATAACTTCATAGAAATTATAAACTATTTATAATTTAGTAACAGGAAAGTAGTCATTATAGTTAATATTCAGAAATTATATAATAATAATGTAATCTCCAATTTAAATTCGAAATGAAAGATATATTCCTAATTCCATACGCATTAATTTCAAAGGGAAAATGCATGCAAATTTAAAAAACAGTTTAAGTGATACACTAAGTGTACTTAAAGCAGAAATAGAAGTATACCTGTGACGATATAAATGCCTCATCCGTTGTACGCATGGTATTCAACCATTTAACTATTTGGTCCTGGATAACACCATTATACCGCACATATATCAAAAGCGCATAAGCAGTTGCTTCAACAGCAAGAGAGTCATACTTATTTGGAAGGCGAGGCAGAATAAAAGGTCGCTGACTTTGATAGAGAATTTCTGATGAGATAATAGGTTCAGGGCTCCAGTAGACTAATCCCTCTATAAAAGATATTTAGTTTTTTTTTTTTTTTTTTTACATTTGCAAGGAAAAATTTATTTAAAAAATGAAAATTTTCATATTAGATAAATTGTAAAAAAGTTTTTTTTTTTTTTCAAATAAATGTTTGAACTTACTCTAAATTAATTCAAGATTAATGCCATACTTTGAAATAAATAAGAAAAAAATAAGAAAGAAGTTAGAATAAGAAACGAATTCAAATGGTAATTTTAAAAAGAATAATTTAGTAAACAAATCTAAGGATAATTTTAATACAGAAAGCCAAGTAACAACTAAGTAAATACATAATTTATGCTAATTCAACAGAAAATTCAATCGTTTCATGTTGAGCTTTCAAAGTTGAGTATTTAATAAATCATACTAGATTAACAATTTGCATCATTTATTTTAATTACAGTTTAGTATCATACAAAACTTGGTAAAAAAAGTTATTTTCATTGGAATAAAGCGTTTAATCTTTAGAAGAATATAAAACAAATTTGGAATGTAATCAAGCCCTGATGCTTTAATAATATTCCTAATTTAATAGGAAGACCGGAAAGTAATGTCGTTTCTGCGCATGTCGACAACAACGTGCTAAGGGTAGAAGTGGAAGCAAATCCATGTCAAACACTCTTAACCAACCTTTGTCGACTATCCAAGAACATTTAAAGAAGAATGGAAAAATAAGCAAAGCAGGTGTTTAAGTCCCCCATAATATGTCCGAAAAGAACAAAGCCAACCTATCCCTCACATGCAACGTATTGCTTCAAAGGCACAATACAGAACCGTTTTTTTGAACGTTTGATTAGTGGAGAAAAAAAAATAAGTCCCATATGATAATCTAAAACTCAAAAAGCAGTTTTAATAGGGGTTACAAAAGGTTTACATCCCGAAAAGGCGCTTCTGGGTGTTTGATGGAGTATTCGCGGAATTGTCCATTTTGAATTGCAGAAAACTGGAAAAACTGTTAATGTAGACCTTTATTGTGAATAATTGGATCTAGTGAACCAATCTTTTAATCGAAAAATATCTGGCGATTGTCAACGGAAAAGGCGTTATTCTGCAACACGACAATGCAAGACCGCACTGTGCAAGACGAACACTGGAAAAATATGATAAACTGAGGTGGGAGGTACTGCCTCACCCACCATATTCGCCCGATATCGCACCCTCGAATTTCCATTTATTCCGATCCTTACAACATTTTCTTAGTGACTAAAAATTTGAAAATTTGGATGATGTCCAAAATGCCATCTCGAGATATTTTACTCAAAAACCAATTGATTTTTTTTCGGTTTAGGATTGAAATCGGCATACTAGATGGCAAAAGGTTTCTGATAACGAGGGTGATTATATTATTGATTAAAAATAAAAACTTGTTACAAATTTATTCGTTTGAATTTAATGTAAGAAAGCGACATTACTTTCCGGTCCCCCTATTATTTAAACCTAGATTAACTGAATGGGTGGGTGTCCGCCGGATACATCGCAGCAAAAACATAGCGGACAGAAACTTCGCAGAGAAAACAACGCAAGGCCGCAACGTCAGAGTACATATCGTGGGAGAAAAGAAAGCAAAGAGAAAACATTGTGGTACAAAATATGGTGGTCGAAAATAAAGCGGTCCAAAAACTTCGCAGTTTAAAAACATCGTTGTTGAAAATATTGTGGTAAAAAATAAAATACCCACAAATCATCGCACACATGCGTTTTTCAGGTTTTAAAAGTAAGTGCATTTTCGCATAATGATTTGGGAGCGCAAGAAGGAAAGTGGAATATTTTTACTTCTATATTTCATATTTTTGAATAAACTAATAACTTTTTCCTGAAAAAGTAAGAAGGAAACTTAAGCATTTAAAAACTAAAAAAGAACAGAAAATTAATGCAACTTATCGGGCATAATTTTAAATTTTCATAGTTAATTACAAATTTTATTAAATTTGTTTATAAAGTTTTACTGATACTGTTTCATGAAAAATACAGTCTAAAAATGTTTAGAAAAAGGAAGACGAATAACTGCATCAGGTTACCTCTATACAAACTGCTTACTTAATTATTAAATTATTTTCTTTCACGTTTGTTAATCTTTTATTGTTTTAGTGAAATGTATATCTTGTTTTGTTTCCTTTTTTTCTTAAAGTGTCGTTAACATTTTCACCTCTTTTCTTCTTGCGCTACCAAATCATTATGCGAAAATGCATTTACAATTTCTAAAACCTGAAAAATGCATGCGTGCGAAGTTATCGTCATGCAATGATTTATAGGTACTTTATTTTTACCACGATATTTTCGACGACGATTTTTTTAAACTGCGAAGTTTTTGAACCGCTTTATTTTCGACCACGATATTTTGTTTTCTTTTGGTTTATTACATTACGGCAAAGCACTCGAGAGCTATTTGCCTTAAGGGAGGGATGCCTTCGTGGATGACTTTTTAAGGTAAACTGGCTCATTATACATAGGGGGCTCATTATACATGGGCTCATTATACATGGGGAAACCTACGAAAACACCCGTGCAGCCAGCCCATTCGCGGGATTCGAACCGAACTACCAGTGTTCAGCGACGTTAACGCTCGGCCGCTGGTGAGCTCACGATATTTTGTACCACGATGTTTTAGAACTGCGATGTTTTCTTTTGCTTTCTTTTTTTCCCATGATGTTTTGTACCCTTACGTTGTTTTCTCCGCGACGTTTTCGCCTGCGATGTTTTTGTCGCGATATTTTTGGCTGTAACCGCATGGATGACAGGTGTCAGTCGTGCGCCTATCTTTGATTGGCACGCACTTAATTACGTGTCTAAGTCAGGGTTATTATGCGAAATTTCAAATCCAGATTAACTCTTCTGCATAGAAATTTTCTTAACAGATAAGCTTTTCATTATATTAAAAGAATAAACTTAACTATAAACTGTTTCTGCAGTAATATAATACTTACACATACAAGCATAAAATAAAATTTCAAGCTTATAAAACATAAAACGCAAGCTCATTACAAACCTCTTTCCCTTTTCAGACTGTCTAATTTATTAAAGCCAACTTCAGCTTCAACACTGCCAGCTTCCAAAAGAGCAAATGTTACTATAGCAACCTGATAAGGATCTTCAAGGTGACGCAGCTTTCTTTCCAGATATCTGACAGCTAAATTTTTTGCATTCGAAATTTCTACTCGTATGTTCTAAATTCAAATTAAACCAAATTAGAAATATACATATATAATTCCCACTTCTGCAGGTTTAAGAAAGAAACTTTAAAAACTTTAAAAAAGGAAATTTAAAAAATATATGTAAGATTTAGATCTTTTTCAAGAATGCAAAACAAGAAATAATAAAAGTTTGAAATGCTTTCTTAATATATGAAGGGTGTATAATGAATATTTCAGGGAAAATTGAAATATTTCATCTGTGTTTATAAGGTATTTCTCCCGCCTTTTGCGCATGCCTTCGTGGTGTGGTGGTCTGCACGCTGGGCGCGTATTCCAGAGGTCCACGGTTCGATTCCCGACGAAGGCGTTGCTAACTTTTCAATCTTTCTTGCCTGCTTCCAAAAAATACCTAATGTCTCTACATGTTTAACGAATATACCCTGAAGCATTCTGAAATTCCATTGACATAATGACAATTTTCAGTGCTACCGAATGTAATCAGTTAAGTGTCCCTTCAATAAATCTATAGGTAAAAGATAATACATGCTTTCAAGCTCTCATATTCTTCCTAGATATGATAGTTCTTTGGATGCAGCATATAAAAATAGGTTTAATATAAAAAAGATAATGCAGTTGTTTCAAGATCTTAATAACGAAGAGCTTAAGGAATGATCCAATAGTAAAAATATATCAAAATGAAGGAAAAGACGTCTTCATTAACACTGCAAGAAGCTACAGCTGCAAACAGTGCTTACTCAATGACAAATTATATTTAATTTTTGTTAAATTAATATCTTTAAAATGCTTTGGATTTATTAATTTAGCAATTTAATAATTTTAATTAGATTATTTAATTTAGCTGTTTTAATTTAATTTCATAAATAAAAGTTTGAAATAAATTAGGTTTGATTCTGATAATTCAGTAAACTGAAAGTTTATTTATTCCTTCAACAGGAACGAAACTAATACAAGAATAGCTTTAAAATTTTTCCATTAAATGGCAGGATGAAGTTAGTTTACTTAAATATCTGAAATATCATTACATATTAGTATGACAAATCCATGTTTCGTTGTTCTAATCAGTAATTACAAGTTCTTCGTTTACAAATTATACTGAAATTTACCTATATACAAGTAAAACATATTTATGTATACACACACAATGTGCTATTTTCATAATTAGATGTACATTTATTTTTTATTTAGTCTTTTTAGATACAGGCATATGTCAAGCAGAAACCAATTCTAAATGCAATTATTTTTCCTAAAATAAAATAACTTTAATTCCGAAGTTGTAATAAAAATACTACACATAGAAAAGAGTAAAGTACTTACACCAGGCAAATCAGCTACGGTATTAAGAGTAATCAACACATGAGCAGTTAAAGTAATATTCTGATAATTGTTGTAGCGGTCTTTCTTACCCTAAAATTAAGAGCAGAAATTAATATAAAATAAATAATAATATATATGCTAATTTAAACATTTTTTTTAATATAAAAATCAAAAAACAAATTCCTTCAAAAATTTTTTTAAATCTGAAAATGTTATAAAACGTTCAAAATTTTTTTATTATACTCTATTCTTTTTTAAATGTGTGTATAGCATACGAGTCATTCTTTTTGCGACACAAAAATTCAGATTTTTGTTTAAAACTATTTTATTCCTAACATGACAAATACTGAAAAAGTAAAATAAAGAATTTATCTCCCCTTCCCCACTGAAAATTCAAGGGAATTTTAACACTAAATTCACACACACAAGCTTCATATATTTAAATTTTGAAAGGGATTATATGTCCTGGGGTGCCACATGTTTACAAAATTCACTTTCTGCACCTAACTTAGCTTTCTTCCCTCTTGTTGTGAAATAGTGTGCGATGTGAATGACAAGCATTTTACCCCTAGGCACACATACTATATATTCCTCACATTGTGTAGCATGACAGGGAGTTGTATACTTCCATCTGTCAGATGATTTAATTCCTTGATGCACATTTAAATTTTAACAATGTTCAACAAAATCTTGCATAGAACAAAACTTCCGATTATATAATTCATTTCAATAATAAAAATACTGAAGCGTGCATTTAGGTTCATAAAGACTGAATGAACACAGAACCGATACCAGCTTCATAAAATTTATTTTATCATAAGAGACAGTTCACAATTCTATAACTTTCCACAAAAGCAACAGTATAACTATTCACAGTATCGCACAATACAATCAGTAGTTACACTTTAAATTGCTAAGAATATTAAACATAAAGCAATGCAAAGCGTATCTTAAGAAGCTAACCGGGAAATATCTCAGTACTCTGAACTCACACTACAGTCAGCAGATGCTCTGTCAGCTCTTATGTAGCTCTTACGCAGGGGCCGAACAAAAATGTCGCCAAATAGTCGCTAAATGAATCTAGGGTTCCTCACCTATATAACCTTAGATGTATAAGTTTACTTCCTGCTTTAGATAAGTGCTTGGGAAAACTTTTTATTAACAGAATTTCCTGGTATTTCCACCATGGAGACCTTCTTTCTGGTAATCAGTACGGTTTTACACCTCAAAGAAGTTCTGAAGACGCTCTTTCACGCTTGAATGAAAGTGTTCAAAGAGGTAAAAAGAAAACCTTGCACACTATTTTGGTCTTTTTGGATATTAAGGGCGCCTTCGACTGCGTGGTGGCCTTGTATTCTGAATCTTCTCTAAAAAGTGAAACTTCCAATGAATATTTTTTCACTTGCTGCTGACTTTTTAAATGATTGGACGGCCAAACTGCAATTGGGCTTGGCTTCTGCAATCCGTCACCTTAAAAGGGGTTGCCCTCAAGGCTCAGTTTCAGGACCTACGTTTTGGAATATTATTATTAATGATCTCCTATCAAAACTGGAAAATCTTGCTTGTTGTGATAATATAGCCTTTGCAGATGATGTCTTGTTTTGATTCCAGAGTAGGGACCTTTCTGCTACTTTTTTACAGGCACAAGAGACTTTAAATCTCGCCTCCGACTGGTCAAGAGTTTTTAAATTAAACTTTAATCCTGATAAAACCAGGCTTATGATTATTTAAAAGCGAAACATCTGTTATGATGCATTTCAGTTATCTCACGATGGCCCCCCTTTGACTGTGGTAAAGCAAATGAAATATCTTGGGCTTTTTTCTTGATTGTAAATTTCTTGGAAGCAACACCTAACTTATGTATCAAAGAAATGGGATAAATTACAGCGTGGATTAAGTTATTGCCGCAACCATATGGATTTAATTCAAATTCATTCGCTCATCTATAAACAAGGATTGCACCCTTCATTATGCATGGCTCTAAAGTCTGGGGTATCGCTCAGAAGAAGATAAATTATAGATATTACGACGCGTTCAAAGGCGGATACTTCTGCGGGTCATATGTGGATATCGTACCGTTAGTTATGAGTCTGTTTAGTCACTTTCAATTTAGAATTAGAGATGAATGTACCGCTTTTATAGCTGAACTTTTATGCTTAAACTTCGCAATCAAATGAGTCTCTGAACATAATAGTGCTGTTTCTTACTCTCTCATTTGTACTGATTCCCTTTCATCCTTGGAGATCTTAAAATGTAATTCTTCTTCTAATAATATCATTTTCGAGATTAAAAAAGAACTGAAAAACCTAAAAGATAAAAATATTTCGGTTGCATTTTCATTTGTTCATGGTCGTATCATATTCATTTGTTCGTGGTTCGAAACGAACGAGCCGATTTCCTTCCTAAGACTGCGACTAAGCGGGAAATTGACACTTTTGTCAATATCCCCAATTCCTTTTATAGGAAGGTCACGTATGAAGGTATTGTGGAGTCATGGAATCACGAATTCATTAATTCAAATAAAGGGAGCTTAACTAAGAGATTTTTCCCTTCTATCAAAATGAGATTATCATGTCATCACCTCTTCACAAACTATAAATTAACCCAATTTCTTACTAGCCATGGAAATTTCAAAAGTTATTTGAACAGATTTAAGTTGAGCCCCGAGTCTGTCTGTGATTGTAGCCTCGGTGGCGAGGAGAATGTTGAACATGTGCTTCTTCTATGTCCTAAATATGACAGCGTGAGAAAAGTCTTGAAACAGGGACTGAAAAATTTTAATATTAACTGGCATCCAGAATTTTACCAATTTATTTCCTACAGAAGTGCTTTTAACACTTTTTGTCAATTCATTGTAAACTTTAATCATCCTAATTTATTTCAGTTTTTCCTTCTGTTTATTTTGTATTGTGTTTCATACTTACTTCTGTAAGCCCCATGTGATACTATGTGGTACATGGGGAACTTATTGTGTTTCTTTAATAAAAAAAAACAATGGTCGCTAAGTTTGGCGACTAGTGGGGATTTCTCGCCAAATTACCTGAGATAGTCATTTACTATCTCGGTAATTTGGCGAGATTAATTTCATGTTAAATAGACTTGCCCCTGTATTCTTACTTTTCCGTCCATAGTATCGTCTCTTTAGATTTTCCATGTTACTTTAGACAGAAAAATACAAGAATTTCACATATAACTGAAATAAAATCATCCATCTATGTACAAAATTTGTAACAATATTATTAAATTAACTATGTTCTTTCTTGAAACAAGAAAAAAAAGTTTTTTTTAAGTGTTCTTAACTACATTCTTTTCTTCATAATAAAACAACTTTTTCAACTAGTACTAGTCTCCCAGTCAGAAAGTTCTAAATTAAAGCAAAGAAACCATTTTGTTTTGATAAAGCTTTTGTTTGAATTTGTTTTGATAAAGCTACAGAAAAAAAAACTATGTTTTGATCAGCATTCTTTTTTAAAAAATAGTTCTATATCTGCTTAAATATATTAGTAAGCAGAGTTATAAAAAATAATAACAGAAATTTATTTTAATTGGGTTTTTTTCTATTTCACTGGCAAAAAACACCAAAAAGTAATTAATCACAATCTGTAGTTTGCTCCAATCTAAGATTTCACTTTGCAGTAATAATTATTCAAATCTCACAAGGAAAACATTGCATTTTGTTCAAAATCTGCATTTTTACAATAACAACAGAGAAAAACTAAAACAATATTGTAAATGTTTCTAAATTCTCTTCTGATATGATGTTCTTTGGACAGGGATTAATTATCTCATGTGGCATCCAGAAAGGCCTACAAATTGTATTGTAAATATATATTTGATTTATAAATACTCATCTCAATTCAGTAAAACAAATTTCCTACATATTAGGATCGCTTTAGTAAAGATGAGATATCCATCATATAACAATAACATGATTAATCATTTAACAATAACTCATGATTTTTTGTTAAGGTAATAGCAATTATCAAATTTCAAAGTACTTGAAAGAAATACTTCATTATCAATGCATTACTTCTTTCATAACTATGCCTCTTATGTTATACCTTCAAATCATCAATTAACAAGATAACAAAACTTGATTTATTATATGTGAAGAAACTGCAATTAAAAAAAGACAATATAATTGAACATGTTTACCAAAACGTTCACTTTCCGATTCCACGGTTGTTCACTTATTTCGTAAAATGATCCTTCCTGAGTTTGATGTTTCAGAATGAATTCCATTGTTCTTACTAACATATCTGGATCAATAAAAAGATAATTTTCCCAATCTGGGTACTGAGCCATGCGAAAAACCCTTGCACAATAAGCAGTTAACCTGTAACAAGACAAAATAACAAGATAATTCATATAAAAAGACAAGAACTCTGTTCAGCCGAATATCATTTAAATGCAGCAAATAAACATATGTGCTTAGGTAGGATCTCTTGCACAATTCATCCTTTTGGATAAATTGCAACTAAATGTGTGGTGCGACTGGTATGTAAGCTATTTAATAATTACAGAACATGCTAATTGGATTATTTAGATTACAATAAAGTATGTGCGGAAAGCTCAGGAAAGACCTGGTAGATAACCTTTTAAGGGAAAGTCTCGTTTTCAAATTGCGCATGCGGAAAACCACACAACATGTTGCACTTGCTAGAAAGGCATCTTTCGCTCACACGATTTTTGTAATTTTCACAAAGATATATTCAGACAGTTCGGAAGTTTATTCCTGAGCTACAAACTGTTCAAAAAAGGTTGTAAAATCTTAAAATTTAGAAATATAAATTTAATTCAGTTTTCTACGTTTTCTACAAAATTTAGCTTTTATTCAACCTTCTAATAAGTTAACTTATGGTTAATACTCTAGGCTGTCGATAAAAAAAGAGATTGATTTCAATTAAGATGAATATTCAAAGAAGCTCAGAACATACTTTAGGTTTCAGTCTAATAAGTTTTTAACACAATGATATAAGAAATCAAACCAAAATACTACAAGCCATATTTCAAAACGGAAAATGGAAAGATAAACTACTTGTGTAAAAAAATTAATAACAATTTATACGAAAATATAGTTATATCTTACCATAAACTTGGTTGTTCACCTTTAAACATTGTAAAGGCTCCATTCTTATAAAACACAGACTGGTAAACATAAGCTAAGTAGAAAAATGTATGTATTATGAGCACTTCACAAGCACACACTCATATGTGTATATGTTACCGTGAAAGACCGAAATTGGAGAATGTCGACTTTCACCAGAGAATGTCAGCATTCACCAAATACGTCGGTGAAAGATCGAATATTGCATTATATTCTTGTACATTCGGACCCTCACCGGTGTATGTCGACAATCACAGACATGCTCTGGTGTACGTCAAAAAGAGAGGCGTATATATACACGCTTGTCATTGCAAAACAAGTGTCCACAAATAAATGCAGTTGTAAAAGCAAGGGCCTCTTGTGCAATTGAAAGTGGCCATAAGTAGTTTAAGTTGTTGCAATAATAAGATTTGAATCACGTAATTTAGTAAGTTTTTAACTTCTATTATTTTTCCTTCTCATTTTGAATGTACAGTTGTTTTAAGTTCTTATATTCTTAAGTTCTTATTTAAGTCTCAATGCGTTTTTTGCACCTGGAATTACGGAGAGAAAATATAATTCTTATGTGTTCAACATTCACCATTAGTACATGGTGAATGTCGACATTTACCGGTGTAAGTCAGAAATAAGAGTATTTGGAAAATATTTCGGACGTACACCAAGCGACTATGTGAATGTTGACATACACCGGTGAAAGTTACGACATTCTCCAGATTTCGGTGTTTCACCGTAACATACGAGTATATATACACATGCGAAATAATTAAATAAAACATAATAATTTATAATAAATTAGATTAAATATATAAAGACGTACCCTTATTAAGATATTCTAGCATTCCTCGCATTGTATCCGAGCGCAGCTGATTAGTAAGCCTAAGGTAAGTAAGAGTATACAACGTATACGCAAAATCAAACATGATATGTTCTCCCGATTTCACCGGCTCTGCTACTCTCAAAGCTCTTAACCCAATAGGAGATGCTGGATCAGTTGGATAAGGAGCTCCAACAACATCACCTGACATAAAATACACTACATTAAACTATTGAAAAAATAAAATTAGACAATAATATTAAAAATAATAATTCATTTTATATTTAATGCACAATTTTACATACCTTAATATACGTACATTATTTAATGAATCATAAACTACAGGGTTATTCTAAAATATCTGGCAAAAAAAGTAAAGAGGCCCAATTAAGCAGATTTTGTAATGAAATATGTGAGCGAAAATAACATGAAGTGGTAGAAGGCGCTGTTGAGATACATATACGAAAGTCTTCTAGCATAAATCACCGTTCCATGTGGCCATTCCATCACCAAATAAATGTGGAATTTGGCGACATGCATTTTAGGGCTGTGGGCAAAAACGGAGCAGCTACTCAAAGGATGTTTAGAAAACCATTTCAGAGTAGACAACTACTAAATCCCTGCATGCTAGAGTGTATAAATCGCAGCTGTGAATTTTGTGTTACGATTGGAGGTCAAACCGTCTAGCACATATTATAATAAAGTTGAACTATTAAAATATCTTTTTTTTTATTTTACCTGCCTTTTAACTTACTTGTTGTTCAACCTACACCTTACGTGTCAGCACTTACATGCACCATTTCCACGCACACATTCCATTACAAAATTAGCTTATTTCATTCCCTTCTACTTGACTTTACAATTTTGTCAGATATTTTAAAATCCCCTTGTAGAATATGAAAATTTTAAGAAAAATATTTAAAAATTCAGCAGTTTAATAAATACCTTACGTACCTTCGGTTAATAAGAAAATAACTGTTTAATGTTTCCAGTTTACTTATTTTTTTCATCACCTGCATGCACGCACCATCAGTTCCTTTGGTGTCTCACTTTCTCCCCTTTTTTAAGTTAAATGATCCACATCCCACTCAGGTGTAGTCTTAATATCCCCTCCTTTGTAATTTTTTAAACACTTCTTTTTCACAAAAACACAGAAATTATGTATGCTAGGTTATGCTAGTTATGCTAGGCCTAGCATATGCTAGGTAACCTAGCATAATTAATCCTATACACATCCAGAGTGCAATTAAACAGTCTGGGGGGGGTCTTACAGCACTCCTTGAAGGATGCTCAAAAACTACTTTTCTTAGATTTAGGACTTAAAAACTCTGAGTGGGGAGAAGTATGGAATGCTTTTAGCCTCTAGACTAATCCTTGTGACACTAAGCAATAATCACACCCTCAATATATCTGTCCGTTACATTAGTAGCAGGGAACTTATCAATAGTGTGTTAAGAGCTCTGTAATTAATATGTATATATTGATGCTCTCCACTTTAAAATCTTTTACAGATACAAACAAATCTGTTCTCAAAAAGCGAAATTTGTTCGCAGTCGAAAAAAAAAATAAATTTTGAGAGATTTGCTAAAATAAAAGCCTGCTATGCATGACGCCATACAATGTTATTGCTTTATTTACAATGTAAGAAAGGAAAAACCTGCTCAGAAAAGTTAAGAAACATATTTTCTTAAGAAAGACAATTCCGAAATTGGTGCTGCTTGCCCATCTAATATGTCACCTCACTTCTCATACGCCCACCAGTGGCCAAGCAGTAATTTCGCCGAGTACTGGTAGTTTGACCTGGGTCCAATTCCATAGGAACGGGTTAGCTGCATGGACGTTTTCGTAGTTTTTTCTAGGTTTAACGTGGATGCGAGCCAGTTTCCTTTATACAGTCCTCCACGAAGGCATCCTTACTCTTAGGCCGATAGTTCTAGAGGGTTTTGCTATATTCAAACAAACCCAGCCACTTATCATATAGCCTTCTCATCAGAAATTGTCCCTTTTACTTGTTGATGAGTCTTCAGAGGATGAATCAGTTGTTGACTCATTCCCATCCATGTAATGATCTACTAGTTTCGTTCTCACCTCATACACATATGCCTCAAAGACGGCAATCCAAGTTACGTACTATATAAGAAAGTAATTATTTATTTATAATTTTTTATTCATAATATACTGTACCTAAAATTTGAAATATACAGGATTATCAGGAAAATCATCCATTTGTAAAATTTAATATTTTCCATAATTACAAACAGGAAATTATAAATAATATGTTACTATGAAGAAATGAGATTAAATCTTTTTCACAAGTGCTCGATATGACTTCCTTAATCACCCGTATAATATCATTGCGATATGCCATTTCTTGCCAGATCGTTGTAATGTTTCACTATTAACTGCTTTTAAATGCATTGTTTATGTTCAGGCAAACTTGTAGGCAACGGTAGTATGAACACAAGATCTCTGACATATCTCCAAAGGAAGAAGTCACATAGAGTTAAGTCTGGTAACCTCGAAAGTTAGCTATGCAGGACCAAACATAGGCTGTACTGCGACCAATCCGAAGGTGTGGTAGTTCTCTGTTTATAAATTTACTAACCTCTTTATGGCAATAGGGCGGTGCACCATCTTGTCGAAAAATGAAATTTTGCATGTCTTCCTTCAGCTAAGGGAAATGCCAACTTTCCAACCTACCGAAGTAGATACCTCTCACTGATTTTTCGGCAAAATCGAATGGTCTGTAAACCTTTGATAAAGATACTGCAAAAAAAGACATTTACTTTTGGGAGTCCCTTATATGTTTTATGTAGGTATGGGGGTTTTCGATCCCTACATTCGCACGCTATGGCAATTTACTTTGCCACTTAAATTAAAGGTAGCTTTATCACAAAATATAAGTTCATTGCAAAACTATTCGTCTTCCATAGCTTCATACGTGAAAAGGTAGTAGTTGGGATGTTGCAACTCGTCACTAGGCTTCAGTACTTGCATGCTTTGCAATCTGTAACGCTTAAAATGTAATTTTGTTCTCAACACAACCCAAACGGTAGACTGAGATATCCCTCTTCGGAATGGGTAAAATGTCTCTCATAGGCTTTCAACATTCCCTACTGAAACACTTGGTTACTGTGTAATTTTGTCCTTACCCAGGTTCCTGGAACTGGTTGTAAAAGATTCTGATACTCTGAGATGTTGGTGCTTAATTTGTACGGTACTTTCTCCTAAATTCACGCTGTCAAAATTTCAAAAACAGCTTAATGACAAAAGTGTTGCCACCTATTGCGAAAAGACAATGTTACAAACTAAAACATTAAGATTTTTCCTATACAATGATATATACATTATAGTTTTCTATTTGTAATTATGGGAAATATTAAATGTTGCAATCGCATGATTCTTTCCTTATAACCTTGTTATTTATTTATTTTTAGCATTTTTAATTGTTTATTTGAAAGTATTTATAGACGTTATCTCATGAACATTATTAGGAGATATGCATAGAGAACCTAGTAGCATTTCACAAAAAATCCCAGTTATTTATTTTCCTTTTTCTAAGCATATTTAAAGTGTATTTTTCATAAAAAATAATCAGTGAAACTTTATAAAAAAATGTTAATTTATTAATGACCCCTGTTAATTAACTATGAAAATTTAAAACTCCATTAAGTTCTGTAAGTCACATTAATTTTGCACTCATTCCGAATTTTTAAATGCTTAAGTTTCCTTCTTATTTTTTCAGCAAAAATTTATTAGTTCGTTCAAAACTATTAAATGTATAGAAGTAAAAGCCCTCCCAAATCATTTTTTGCCACAATATTTTCGACGATGATTTTTTTAAACTGCGAAATTTTTGAAGCACTTTACTTTCGACCACGAAATTTCGTAGCACGATGTTTTAGAACTGCGATGTTTTGTACCACGAAGTTTTCGCCTTACGGTGTTTTCTAGTCAACGTTTTCGTTAGCGATGTTTCTTGTGGACACCCTCAAATCATGTGATAATTAGCAATGCCCTGACCACAGCATTTGGCCCACTTTCATCAAATGCTGACACAAGAAATAAGTCAGGGTGAAGTACATAAACTATATTTACTTGCCTTTTATTAGAGGTTATACAGTAGTTATTTATCAGCTGATATAAAAATTTGCATTTCCTATTCAGAAATTTAATCCATTAGTTCAAACAATTGTAAATTTTACAGAACAATAATTCACTGCAGTACAGTATCCATTGCTTTTTATCAGCATTACATTATTCTTTTCAGTTAGTTTTCATTTTAAGTTACCGATGTATTTATAGAACTGACATGATTTATTTTAAATACTAATAAAAGAACATACCAATCAGTGATACACTTGCTTTAGGAGAACCAAAGATGTAATGTCTATATGTTTCTACAAATGGTATTATAGGATCTTCTGTCACATTAACATCCAAATAGCGTATCATATAGGCTTCATTTCGCATATCTAGCAGCAGAGATGTATGTCGATGCACAGGAACTCCATCAGGCTAGACACAACAAATATTGAATTTCATTGAAATCTCATACTAAAGGAAAAAGAAGTACTTTACAAGCTCAAACAATACAGTACCATCATAATAAGGATTATATTACTACATAAATTCTCATATCAAACTAAATTACAAAAAGGTTAAACTTACAGAAACATTTATAGTCATTGTTGCAACATCTTTTGCAACTTGTGTTCTTCCAATAATAGTCACTTCAATTTCTCCAATTTTTGTAGCAACAATAGGAATGTGAACAAACACATGGCTAACAGGTTTTACCTAAGCAAAATATACAGCAACATAACCAGCAAAATAATACTTTTAGATAATAATAAATAGGATGCAAATGTAAATAGAAAAAGAGTTAACATCAATAACTTTAAGCATTCTATATTTTACATACATGAAGAATTCTTAACTTCTGTAGTTTCCTAAACTCAGTTTCTTCGCTTATCTCAGAATCAGTATTTCACCATAATCTTAATAATCACTCTTCAAACACTTTTTATGGAAAAAATGTATCTTTGGTCAGAAAAGTAGATTTCGAGCATTTCAGTTATGTATTAGAAACATTCCCAATTATTTTCCTGCTAATAATTTAGACAGTAAGAATTAATTTTCTCTAAGCCTACATTTCATAGCTTTCATCATAAAGACAAATAATTCAACTTTTTTCCTGAATTTTGTTGAAAATATACAGAAATAGTTTTAATGTAAAAACATGCTTTTAAGTTTGTGGGAAGATATATAAATATAAACTATTCTTCACATAAATTTGTGTTTGAAAATTTGGATTTAAATTTGGGTTTATTTAAAAAAAGTCAGATTCATACACAATTTCTATAAAAAACGCGGTTACCTATTTTTTCATAAACCTACATAAATAAGATGCTGCCATTCTCCACTGGCTGTTCTAGGGTTGTAGGAAGAAACAATACCAAGAGGTTCAACTTGAACAAAACGGTAATCATCAGAACCAGCAAGAATGATTTCTGCCTGCAAGTAAATTGTAGGAACTTTTATCGTTAGAAACAATGTTGTGATATAAATACATTATATATCATGAAGAAAATTATTAAATTTTTATACAGAATTTGTACATAACAGCTAAAAATGAACTGGAAATATATTCAACATGATATTCATACTTTTCATTATTTGTTCTTAACATAATTATAGCTCAGTTGTGGTGGCAGTTTTACTGCAGCATATATTAGAGTAAATGCAATTATAACTTTAACTATGAAAATCATGCAGATTAACTAGTGCTAGTAAAAGCATACTAGTAGGAACTAGTCTGGTTATTTTAAAGTTCAATATTATTTTCTGGGCTAGGCAGCTGCAAACATACTTAAGGCAATATCATTTAATTAAGACAAATTTAGTCTTTTAAAATTTAGCATAAACTTTCCAAATAATCTGAATTTTTTTCCTTTAAACAAGATAATACAAGTAATCCATTTTTGTTAGGTGCGTTCTAAAAAGAAAAAAGAAACTTTCATCAATGACTAAATACAATTAAGTATCTGTAAGAATTGTACAGAACTATTAAAAGGAAATGTAATTTTTCTATTCACAGCAGCAAATGAAAATATTAATGAATCTCTAGCTTGATTAATCTGGCATATAGCTTTCCCTGCCCAACTCCACTGATTCACAGATATCTTCATTTTCAGCTTCTTGCCAGATTAAATCGTAACCATCAATCTATGATGTTGGAAATCCCAGGTTCTTAAAAAGTTTTTTCAGTTATCATTTCTGTATCTGTATGATCACTTCACATTTTCTTCAAATATTCAGCCACTGTATTTTACCTTTAGACATCAGTCTTGTTACCCCAACTATAGACTCTGCATAAATCCTGTTTCACAAGGAAACATTCGCAAGAAATAATTTCAAATGAAGTCAGAAAACGTACAACTTCTAATATGCAAACCAAGTTATGCATTTAGCAAAAATCAGCTGTTGAATTACAGCTGAAACACTATAAACAATCATAAAAATCATAAAAATTATCATTTTCATTGCTAAATTAAAAAATATACTTGCCAGTCAGGCAAGCAAGTTTAAGCAGCTTTTAATATGCTGATAAACAAATTATGAAATTTTAAAAAATTAATATTGTTTTCAGCATCTTATTTGGCAGCGCAGACATATTTCAGTCAATTTTGATTTCATATACAAGTGAATATTTCTACAGTATATTTATTATATTATCAAAATTAATCAATGATGTTATGTCTCATTAACCGCACATAAAACTTTAAAGTTTTGTCGTATACATGAATCATGCTTTTGAATTACGTAAATAACTTCAAAGATTCTTCAAAATGTATAGCAATTAAGTTAAATATTGAAAAAGAAGATAAAATATGAAGGGAAAATAGGAATTTATAAATGCAAAATAATTTACGAAAACAGCTTTTTAAGAACTGTAAATATATTCAAATAAAAACATCTATTAAAAAGGCATAACCTTTATTTCAATAAACTGATAGTTGATAACTGAAACTCGAAGTCCTATTTGCTCCCCAATTGATGCTTCTTCTGGACCTTCCACATTAATAAAGAAAGGCTTGGTTGAATCAAACTGAAATGAAATTTTAAAAATTAACATAGCTTGGAAATTCTGAAGCAATTATCCAATCCATATGTACAATTTGTTGTGAAAATAACCAAAACATAATACTTATATAAACACATGATATAGAAAAAACTTACTATTATAGGTTCAGGTAATATATGAAGTCCATAGACTCTGTTCATAGCTACAGCATTAATAAAATATGCCGATGGACCTTTCGGAGCAACAGTAGGAACATACTCTTCTTGATCTTCCCTAGAAATAAAATATTTATTGCTTCAGAAATCAAAAATAAAAATTCTAATTTAAAACAAAATGTATTAATTTAAAACATATGTATTATACATATGACAACGTAGGCATGAATTAATTCAGAGTTTTAAATAAATTCACAACATTATAACGTTGCGCGCCTCCCACTTGCACACAACCAAGAGGTGACTGTGAAAACTTGTATAAAAGATAGAGCCTTGTGAAGGGTTTAAGTCCCTTTTTATTCAACGTAATAAATTACAATTGCGTGCTCTTGACGCTTACAGACTGTGCCTACTTGGCGGTCAAATAAAAATAATAACCTGAAAAGAAACTAAAGACAAGATTCTAACTACGAGGCTCTCTAAAATAACTAACTCACCGCGTTTTACAATACCGCTGCTAATTCAGCAGACTTGAAGCTCACTTGGAACGATTACCACTACTTCCCGCCAAGCACATAGGCCGAAACGCGGGGTTCTTCAATTCTCGCTAACTACCTCCGCGCGCTCGCTAAGTAAGAATATCACACCGAACTCGTTTCCTTCTATTTAAATCATACTACTTCCGCTGATAATTTGAATCCTTGCGCGTTCTACTCAAATTTACATATTCTGGCATTGGCAGTTCCAGGGGAAAGTAAGGCTTGACAGGAAAGATAGTTTAAACTTAAAATAAATGTTAGTTAAAATAAATATAAACCCTACATTTGCCGCTGCCAGAATTTGGAAAACTTGGAAGCAGGTCCTACAAACGACCTGTTGTAAGTTTCTCTAATTCTGAACTAACTGGCGAGAAACCTCGTTTACACAAAAAAAAAAAAAAAAAATCTTATGTAAACAATTATATAAAATTCTGTTGATCGTTACAAAGCTTTCTTCTTACAGCAACTTTTCCTGGACTTCATCAATCAATCTTGGTCTTTCCTTCCAGCATCTGGAAGGAATAAGTATCAGTATCTTTCTACATACATTATAATTTACACTTTCTTGACACAATAAATTTTTGTTTTTAAACGATTCGTTTTTCTTAGTTATTGCTTACTTCACATTCATTCAATTTTTCAAGCATTAATTTAACTTTACCCTGGCTCTCCACCGTGTGTGGTGTCAAACGGGAATATTCGTGTTTTAGTCTTACAACACTTCCCCTAACCACCATGATTTGTTAGAATTCAACGACCAAATAGACACACCTTACTCGACATTCTACAACTCAATGAGCTACTTTAATATTCTTAAAAATTCAAATGTAGGTGGAGAACCCTACAAAACACATTCATTCTAACTTCCCCCTCATTCATCTTTAAACATGCAGGCTTTCGCTCTAAAGCATGACTTTATCTACAAGTTTAATACTTAAATTTTGACTTCATTGCTTTTAAGCATTCACTTTTAGCATCTACAATTTTATGCTTCTAGACTAAATTCTACTTTTACATAACCTTCAAGTATTTACGTACATTTACAAAATTTTAATACATATGATTTTTACAATTTACCATAAAATGAATAAGAGAAAATAAATTTTTACTTTACTCATTCTTCGCCAAGCTGGCGGCACTGAAACTAAAATTCTTATTAGTACAAGAATACGAAGTTATTTTTATCTTCGGCCAAATTTTGGCTTTAACATAACAGAATTAGTCTTTCGACCAACAGAAAATGCTTGTTTTTAGCTTTTACACTTAAAGAAAATAATACTTTTGCCTTAGCTAAATAAAGTAAAACAAAACTAAGTCTCAACCGAGACATATTGACTTTCGTCAAAACATAGAACTTCGTACTTATGCATAACATTTCGGAACAAAAGAGAAAAAAAAAATTATAGAAGGTTTTAACTTATCTTTGAGTTTTCGATGCTTGAAACTCCGTCATCCGTTTTTTGGCAAAATTGATCCCAAGTTAGAGGTTTCATGGATGTCAATCTTCTCCGCTTATTGATCTCCGAGTTGTCGTCCACGTTGCTTTTTCTTTTTGCGTCCTCTACATGCTGGCCTCTTGGCGGAGTAATCGTCTGGTTGTTGTCCTTTCCGTTTGGCTCCCTGGGACGGCTGGTCTTGACGTCCTCCGGTCTGGAGTCCTTCTTGAATTTCTTCTGTTCGTCGTATTTTTGTGCCTCCTGTTGTCGTTTCAGTTTCCGGAACGGCGGCCTTGCTGGCACCTGACTCTGTGGCCGTGTGCGCGTTCTCCTTGATGTGTAATTTCTCCTGATATCCTTGTAGGTGTGTTTTTCTCTTTTTTTTTTCGGTTCGCTGAACACTGGTAGTTCGGTCCGAGGTTCGAATCCCGCGAACGGGCTGGCTGCATGGGCGTTTTCGTGGTTTTCCCCATGTGTAACGTGTATACGAGCCAGTTTCCCTTAGAAAGTCCTCCACGAAAGGCATCCCTCCCCTTAGGCAGATAGCCCTCGTGTGCTTTGCCATAATTAAATACACCAAACACCTTTACCCGGTTCATCTGTATTTTTGTTTTTCTTAAACGCCAGAGTTTGAAAATCATTTTTTCTTTTTGATACCGACGTCCGGGTTGTAGAAGTCTCTCTTCAGTTCTCTGTTTCTTGGGTGGTGGAATAGTTGTTGTAGTCTCTGATTCTTCTACTTCGTTTAGACTTGAGTCCTGCAAGAAACTTTTAAGGATTTCAAAATCATTTGGATTATAGTATTTTTTTCACCTGGTCGGGACTTGCTTTACAGATTTCCCCTCTGTCGTTCTTAAGATATAAGACTACCCCTTTGATTTCCTGAATTACATAGGGGCCTTCAAACTTTGGAGCTAGCTTTGCCATAAAATTGTCTGGGGCACTTGATAAAGAAAATTTCCGCTTCAATACTTTATCCCCAACTTTAAAATCTGCTTCACGGCGTTTTCTATCATAATAAAGTTTCTGTCTATTTCTTGCCGTATCCGAGGTTTTAAGCGCCTGATCAATGAGCTTTTGCACGTCTTGTTGTTTAAACTCCTGCTCTCTTTGTTGCACAAAGAATAATTTATCTAAAGGCGTAATTAACTTTCTGCCTAAAATAATTCTGCTGGAGTTTTTCCCGTAGTATCATGATGTGCCGTTCTTAAAGCATAAGCTAATTCATTTATGTAGCCATCCCAGCGCTTGTGATGTGTGCTAACGTAACTGCGAATTATTTTTACTATGTTTTTATTAACTCTTTCTGCTATGTTAGCCTGTGGTCTATACGGAACCATTTTGATATGGCGTATGCCAAGTCCATTGCATATGTTTTCAAATATTTGACTAATGAATTGTTTTCCGTTATCGCTAATGACTTTTATCGGTGCACCGTATTTTAAAATGTATCTGTGTAAGAATGCATCTGCGACTGTTTTGGCTGACGCGCGTTTAAGTGGAACAATTTCTGTCCATTTTGAAAAATGATCTACTATTACTAAAAGAAAACGATTTTTATTTAACTCGCTCTGGGGGAAGGGACCAAGGAGATCTATGCCTAAAATTTCATTCGGAAATGTAGCGCGAATGCTATTTAAGTACCCGGCCGGGCTGTAATTAATATCATTTATTAACTGACATTGATTGCAGGACCTGACATACGCCGTTACTATTTTGTATAATTGCGGGAAATATACCGCCTCGCGTACCCTTTTTAAAGTCTTTCTGACCCCTAGGTGGCCCGCTGTTTTTTTCGTGCAACTCCTTCAAAATGCTTAATCGAAGCGAGGCTGGGATGACTGGCTTATACTCAAGATTTTCGTTTGTTGTTTTCGTATAGAATAATAAATTATCTATTATTTCATAGTTTTTTTGCTCTATTTTCTTATCGCATCGATATCTGTGTGCTCAAAGCTTTCGGGGTCTTTCAAATAAGCATAGATATTTCCAAATTCAGGATCAGCTTTCAGTTCAGTAATAACCGTATCTCTAGAATCTAAAATTTTGAAGTCAACACAGCGCATTTAAGTTCATTTCCTTCATCGTCCAGTTTTTTATACGAGAAAGTGCGTCAGCTACATTGTTTTCCTTACCCGGTTTATATTTTATTGTGATATTATATTCTTGGAGTTTTAAAGCCCATCTTATTAACCTGGGCGTTAGGTTTTTTCCCGAGTAAAGTCTACCAACAGCCGCATGATCCGAAAAGACTGTTACTGGCGATTTGCCGAAATAAACTCGAAATTTGTGTACAGCCATTAATACGGCTTTCTGTAGCTGTATAATTCCTTTGTGTCTGATTCAATGTTTTACTAAAAAATGCCAGCGGATGGTTATTTTGCATAAGAACCGCACCCACCGCATAGTCTGACGCATCTGCTGCAATTTCCAGGTTTTCGTCCCCTCCAGGGAATTTTAAAACAGGGGCATTAATAAGCGCTTCTTTTAATCTTTCAAAAGCTGTGTTAGCTTCCGCTGTCCACGTAAATTTACCCTTTTTTCTTTTGATTACTAAGAGTGGTTCAACAATATTAGCGAAATCTTTTATGAAAGATCGATAGTAAGAACATAACCCAAGGAACGAAGAAAGTTTCTTGGCGGTGTTGGGCGGTGGGAAATTCTTAATAGCTTTTATTTTTGAATCTTGCGTTTCTATACCCTTTTGCGAAATTTTATAACCGAGATATTTAAGTTCTTTAGTTGCGAACTTGCATTTTGAGGCGTTAATTGTAAGACCGGCCTCTTTTAATAATTTAAAAACTTCTTCTAGATCATTAATATGTTGTTCCAACGTACTACTCGTTATAATTATATTATCTAGATAAATTAAAGTTGATTTTCCTAGGACAGGCTTTAGAACAATGTCCATAGCTCTCTGGAATGTTGATGGGGCCCCACACAACCCAAAAGGCATGCGTAAAAATGCATAAGTGCCCGATTTTGTTATAAACGCGGTTTTATGTATGTCTTCGGGTCTCATAGCTATTTGATAGTAGCCAGACGTTAAGTCCAAAGTAGACATGTATCTTGTCTAGATTTGATCTTTCTAATAATTTCTCTCTATAACCGGCAAAGGGTAAACTGGAATTTAGTAATACTATTTAGTTTTTCTGTAATCGATAGCAAACCTCCAAGCCCTTTTATCCGAAGGAGGAAACTCGTTCTTTTTCCTACATAGTACGACTGGACTCGCGTACTCACTATTTATGGGCGTTATTATTTTATTCTTTAACATCTCCTGAATATGTTCTTCGATGATTAGGTCTTTTTGTTTATCATAACGATACGGTTTAGTCCTACAAGGTTTTTCGGCAGTTAATTGTATCTGATGCGTAACTATTTGACAGTTCCAGGTTTTTTCTGAAAACAAGTTAGAAAAATTACTCACCACTTGCTGGATGCTTTGACTTTCATGGTCATTCAGATGGCTAAGGTCCAATTGCGGTGTCTCCACAGGTTCCACCACCCTCTGGTCCATCTCCAGCACAACGGAACTGTCTTGAAAATTCAATTTGGCCCTCGCGGCCCTTAAAAACTCCATACCTAAAATAAGAGGATTTTGCAGGTCTTTCACTACAAAAATTAATACTTTGAGGATTTTCCTCTTTTACCTGTAAGTTTAATGATAATTTCCCGATGCAGTGACATGTTTTCCTTGCGCCGCTATAATTTCGGTATTTTGGTTTTAAATATCGTACCCTATAAAAATTCTTTTTGAAGAATTTTCGCTCATAAAATTTCCTTCTGCTCCTGTATCGATGAGGGCTTCTACTGGTACATCGCCAACCAGGACTTGTATAATTGGTAGATGTGAGTTTTTTACGATGACCGTATTTAAATGTCTTTTTGAGGGTTTTTTTAAAACTTCCGGGGTCTGGACCCTCGCTTTCACAGGCCCCTCTACTCGTTTAAAGCTTTCCTTTTCAATCTGTGCCTTCTGGGTACGCGGATGTTTATTTTCAAATTTTCTTTTTGGGCCTTGACCTTCGAGTTTCGATGAGTTAGCTTGATAGTTCTTTCCCCCATAAGAGCGGATTTCCATTTCTGGTTTGCCTGAAGATTTCCTTCGGGTACTTTGAGAATACGATTTCCCCTCTCGCTTTTTCCGCTATTCTGCGATTTTGAAACTTCACCGCCAATTCGAAGAGCTCCTGCAATGTGCTTGGGTTTCTAATTTCGAAGTAGTCTTGAACAGCAGGTAACAATCTTGGTAAGATTATTTCAATAATATCTCCGCATCGGGTTTTTCCCATACAGCATATCCGTCAGCTTAATTTTTCGCAAAATAAAGTCCGTCAATTCTGCTGTATATCCCGTTGATAGAAACTATATAGTTGGGCTTCCAGCCGTGCTCGATCTTTCACTATGGGGAAGGCCTTTACTAACGATTTTTTGAAATTTTCAAACGTATATGTCTGGCTTCCAAATTCCCCTAGAAAAATTTGCCTATATTCTTCCACCATAGCGCGGCCTGTCCTTTTAGTGCAGATGTGGCGATGGAATTTTTTTGTCTTTCAGGCACAGGGTAGAGCTGAAAGTGATTTTCTAGGCCTTTTAGAAATATCGCCACCGAATTTTTTCCGTCGAAATGGACGTTTGGCTTGATTGACGCTCTCAAAGTCTGGACCAGGTATCCAAATCCTTCCAATTGGCTTGCCATTTCTTGGTGTTGTTCCGCGGCTTCCATCCGATTTTCGGCCATTTCAGTTCGATAAGTGTTCGGGCGCCAATGTATAACGTTGCGCGCCTCCCACTTGCACGCAACCAAGAGGTGACTGTTGAAACTGGAAAAAGACAGAGTCTTGCTAAGGGTTTAAGTCCCTTTTTATTCAACGTAATAAATTACAATTGCGTGCTCTTGACGCTTACAAACTGTGCCAACTTGGCAGTCAAATAAAAATAAGAACCTGAAAAGAAAGTAAAGACAAGATTCTAACTACGAGGCTCTCTAAAATAACTAACTCACCGCGTTTTACAATACCGCTGCTAATTCAGCAGACTTGAATATCACGTTGGAACGATTACCACAATTCTCCGCCAAGCACATAGGCCGCGAAACGCGGGGTTCTTCAATTCTCGCTAACTACCTCCGCGCTCGCTAAGTAAGAATATCACACACCCGAACTCGTTTCCTTCTATTTAACTCATACTACTTCCGCTGATAATTTGAATCCTTGCGCGTTCTACTAAAATTTACATATTCTGGCATTGGCAGTTCCAGGGGAAAGTAAGGCTTGACAGGAAAGATAGTTTAAACTTAAAATAAATGTTAGTTAAAATAACATATAAACCCTACAACATAAACAAGGAAATAAATTTAGGTCCATTGTTTTCTCAAGCATTTAAAAACATCTCGTACTAAAATTCCTTTTCACATGACAAACGTAGTTCAATAATAAAACGCATTACTAATTTAAGAATATATTTAATTTCTAGTCTTCAACAAATCTCAAGCAAGTTGTTAAAAATTTACAATATAACCTAGAAAAGTACGAAATATAAAATTACAGATTTATTTAAGAAAAGAATGATTAAAATCATTAGTTTACTACATTAAAATCATTAGTATAAAATTTCACTTACGTTTTTCATTCAGATATCCACTTAAAGATTTGTCTAAATGTTTTAAATCTTATAATATTTTAATAATAATCATAAATCAACGAAATGTTGCACTCAAACTTCAGGATTAAGTTAAGTTACAAACAGATAATTTTTTTTAAAAAACAAAGTTATACAAAATGCATAATGAGAAATATTATGAAATAATAAATCGTATTCGCTTACTCACATATGCATATTTGAAATCTATTTTCAGCATAAAATACATTCCATTATTGTTATTTATGCAAAATATGCTCTTTAAATCTTTTCCTTATGAAGTTAATTTTGTGAGCCACAAACTGTGCAATAATTAAAACATATGGAAAACATCAATTTTAGGATTTGACACATGCATACCCAATAATTTTATTCTTCCATGCAAAATTACCAGCTGTAGCATCATAAAATGCACCTTGTCTATTTCTTCGATACAAGTAAAACTCAAAAAGATCTTTATCTTCGCTCAACTGATTTTGAAAACCTGCAAAATATCCAAATAAATATTCTATTTAATTGCATTATAACTAATTATAATTCGGCTAAATTATTTTATAAATTAATATTCTTTTATTATGATCAGTAGTCTGACATTTTGAAAATTCGAGTTTAGAAGATAGGTTAGATTAAAATTGCATAAACTAACAAATCATTTTGTCATAAATTTACAATATGAACTTATACACTTGAAAATATATACTTTTTTAATCTTGTTAAAGTGGACTTCTTTAGAGGTAAAAATAACCATTCATTTAGCTTTCCACTTACAAAAAGCTGGATTACACTATAGCTAAATAGCTGGATTACATTTTCGCTTACAAATTGCAGCCACAATAGCTGGATACTTACAACTTCCTTCATCGGTACCATCATCACAGTCTCTGATCCCATCACACTTCTTATGTGTAGGATAGCATTGCCCAGACAGACATGAACTCAAATCAAAAGATGAATTACAAAATGCTGAAAAGGAACGGAAAAATTTGATGTATTAAAACATGATTTTTTAAATATGTAAAGAGTATTTTAAGTTCACTGGCTTGTATATTATTCATCTTTTTATGCGACAACAGGTACATGAGAATTTTCTCAAAGTAATAATTAAGAAAATAAATAAGTAAATTGTTCCTCATAAGAATTCAAATATGGAAAGGTTTACATGTTTTAAGTTAAATTTAGAGCCTACTTTCATTTTGTACTTGAAAGTTTATAATTCCTTAACTAAAACTTAGCTCATGAAAAATATTACATTTTGGCCATGTATGAAGCTATGGAGATTATGAATGTATCAAAGATATGAAACTGAAATCACAGAATCGCAATGCAATTTTTTTAGTTGGAAACGAACCTAGAATTATACTTAAAGACACTTTTCTTCTCTTTATTAGCTAACATCATACCCCAGAAATTGAAATAATTGAGTTAGTTCTCAAACTTCATGTCCTGTTTTATCAGATGGTTATGGGAACTATTGAATAAAGTTACTATGTAGAGTATAACTTTATGTTGTATAAAATATGGTAGGTATGAAAATAAATAGATTGAATGTAAAAATTAAAATAAATATTTGTTAAAATAAATTATGTTTATTTAAGCTAATATTTACTTTTAATCTTTCTATTTGTTATTACTTATGGTATTAAAATACTTTGAGAACTTGCAGCTGTGCATGAATGTGATGAAATCATTTTCATTTAATATTCCAATACCTGCGATCTTCCTTGAAAACTGAATGCAAAATCTGCTATTACAATATATGTCAATAAAGTTGAACTAATTTGTAACAGCTAAAATGAATAAATTAACTGAGTTAAAAAAACACCGACATTCTCTGTTTTATTTCTGGACTCTAGTTAATGCACACTGGTAAAGTAAACATTAATTTTTAAGTCATCATATATCATCCTGGCTACCTTTTGCTCTAGTGACATTTTCACCAAGACGACAAAGTATTTTATCATTAGGAAAGACTTTAAATTAGTAAGTGCAAATTGCTTGCACTGACGTAATTTGACACTATTTACATTACATATACTATAGAGACTACGTAGTATGGCCACAGTAGGAGGATAGCCTGTCGTAATGAACGACTTTAGGCTTGGGCTGGGAATCTGATGACTTGCGAATCCAAACTACGACGTCGGTTAGCCGAGTAAGAATAGGTGTAGAGACATTAGGTATTTTTTGGAGTCAGAAGAGATGAAAAATTAGCAGCGCCTTCGCCAGGAATCGAACCGCGGACCTCTGAAAGTACACGCCCAGCGTGCAGACCACAACACCACGAAGGCATGCCAAGAAGGGGAGGAAATACCTTATACAGGGATAACTTCTGGTCCCAGTCCTGTTGGTTCTTGGAAACCATCAACGAGAGGTTATTAAGGATGGTTCGATTAAACCTTTCTACCATGCCGTCTGATTTGGGTTGTAAAGGTGTCGTTTGAGTTTTGTCGATGCCGAGTAGCTCGCAAAGTTCTTTAATTACAGCCGAGGTAAAATTTCTTCTTTGATCAGAATGTAACAGAAGAGGCATTCCTAGAAATCCAGTGCTGTATCATTACCTCTGCTACCGTGACAGCCTAATGATCAGGAGTAGGATACGCTTCAAGCCACTTTGTGAAGTAATCAATGACAACAAGGATGTATTTGTTGCAATCAGCAATTTGCGTCCTAGGTCCCAGGATGTCAAAGGCGATGCATTCAAAAGGCGCTCCTACATTGCAACACTGCAGCTTCCTTCGGCTGCATTTCTTCGGATTCTTCCCGACGCGCACAAGCAACGCACGATAGGCACACTTTTGCACATCAGTTCTTGAATTACTCCAGTAGAAGCGCTCTCGAAATCTAAGAAAAGTCTTCATTATTCCGAAGTGGCCTCCTGTAGGGCTGCTGTATAATTCTTTAAGGGTATTCTTACTTTTTCAGCAAAGCATACCCTCTTTATGTTTTTCTTATTATATTATACAAAACAAATACTACAATCTTACATATAATTTCACTAGAACTATTTAGATGTGTACAAAATTCGTGACAATACAATATATTACAATAGTTTAACTTAAGATAGAAATATATCCAAAACAAATGAAAGTTGATCTTAAAATATTCTAATTAGATTTATTTTGCAGAATAAGCAAAACAAAATTTCAGAAAGGAATATGAAAGACAAATTCAGAATTTCAAGAATTTTCAGAATATAGTAATTCAGTGCACATACATATAGCTAATACAGGTTATACTTACTAGGCATTGAACTAATGACCAAATTACTAAATACCATCAAATTGGAAAACTGAAATGTATAACAAGAAAAAAACATTTAAATTTTGTGTAGGGAAAGGGACAAAAATGCTAAATTCAAAATAAATGTTATTTGTTAAAAATTCAAATAATATTTTAAAATATTCTAATTTAAATTATTATAAGTACTAATATACTTACTTCAAAAGAGGTTTTTGTGTCTCTGGCAATATTGTGGGTCGTATAATAATTTATTTTATCAGGAGCTCCATCTCTATCTCGCCAGACAGTGCGATGAAATTTTAAATAATCTTTCTCAAAAGCATACATTGCTTCTGTGATCTAAAAAAAAAAAAAAAAAAAAAAAAAAAAAACAAGTGGTTATGAAATAAGAATATGTTAAAACTGAAGCCCCTGTAGCAACAACATATTTAATTACATCAGCAATAATAATTCAAATATTTCAAGCTGTTAACATGAATAGAAAATGTGGTACTTGAAATATTTTCATCTACTTGAACTGTACGTGTTCTCATAAAGTCCACAAAGCACATGGAATCATAATGAAGTTAACCATTTGCTTTAAATTTCAAATCATCCCATTTCTTAAGTATCTGTCTATTTACTAGATAAAACATATACATTAAGTCTTTCTCTGTAACTAAATAGCAGCCAATTTTTTTTGTTATGAAATTCTCTACTCGTATCTCCCATGCCAGATAGGTCTTACAAGCTTAAAGCTTATATTACACGACTAATATGGAAGACGTCATTAATGTAGGAAATATATTTTCAGAGAATTTATAGAATTTACAGTAAATGAGTAGGAAACGCTGAAAAGCGAAATTAAATTTCAGTTCTTAAATTTTTAGAAACATTTTAAATTATTTATGTAGCATAAATACACAAAATATATTTCAAGAACATAAAGAACTATTGGTCATCATAAATGAAGAAAGAAATCTGAAAGTTGCAAAATTATTTTTGCGACACTTATCACGTGAAGATAAAAAAACCAAACTACAGTAATTAAATTTTTTTATTTAACTATTGGGTAACGAAATCAGAATCTGAACTATTAATTAAAAGAAATAGATAGTTAAAGTATGCCAAAACTGAATTTACCAAATGGCAAAGATTTGGAGACAATTTTGAATGAAACTTTGAATATTTGTCTCAACAAGAAATTTGCTGCAAGAGTGCAATGATTTTTTAAATAAATTTGAAAGCAATTCTTAAGTTTAAGTGTAAGAAACGTTGTTCAGATAAAATAAAATGGAAAAAAAGATGTTAAAAAAAGATGTCACTTCAACAAAATCATTCAGTTTATCCTTCGAATACCCTGGACCATCTGAACTGAATGATCCATCTGAATATAAGACAATGTATTGTCCTTCTGATATATCCTACTAACATAAACATATTAGAAAGTAATGTTTGAGATTATTATATTGCAAAATTTATGACTTAACATACCTAAATTTTTGTAAAGAATGAATAAAACAACTGAAAATTAAGCGGAATGTTATTTCTAATGAAAAGTATAAGTGTCTATTTCTATTTCACATAGAAATTATTTAAATATACAATTTATTTTAATTATTACTAGAAAACAACTCAAAAGAGCAGCTTGTTTTGGTAGCAACGAAATATGCGCTCCTGCAATATTGCTGTTTGCAGTAGTCAAAGTATTTTACGTTTGAAACATAATAGTTGGTAATTTAAAATACATACTGAATTTTATTCAGATTTTATAGATTAGACTTCTTCTTTGACTTAAAAAAAGAAAGAAAAGAAAAAAAAATCATCTTGCACCAGTTTATGTTTTGAAAATATCGCCAATCCTGCGCTTTGAGGTCCAATAAATCCGATAAATTTAAAATATTTATTTAATTCATGATAGCATAAGCCAAGGAAAAGAGACAAAATTAATATATGGGTTTGTTTTGCCAAGAATAAATTATCAGAGTTCTGTCTTGGTAACCACTTAGCTTCATATATAGTATGTTAACTATGCATTTTGATTTAACCAAAAGTTTTCCTTTGAGCTAAATTTACAAAATCCGTATTTCACTTTATAAGTGAAGAAAACACAGTTATAATATGTTAAAAAAATTAGCATATATATAAAAATTTCAGTTTCTCAAAAAGCTAACAGCATTAAAATTTCTGCTTACTGATGTTACGGTCAATTGCTGTCGTCCATGAGTTGATACATGATCACTATCAAAACCCCAAAGACCAACCATTGTTTCGGATGTGAGCCGAGGCACAAGTTCTATATTATTACCAGATCGTTCTTGTTTCATATTTACATCTAAAACAAACTGGAAAAAATATTTTTACAATAATTCTTTTTTTTTTTCTGAAAACAATTAATGAATATTTTATAAACATTCACGTATAGATTGAAAAATATTTATTTAGCTTACAAATCAAGAAGCAAAAAGTCATATATGCAGGAAAAATTTCTTTCCTAAAATTAGAAATAATACCTTATGTTTATTTATAGCATCTACAGGCAAAATGACACTATCAGTTAAAACTTCTCCATCAGCAGTGATATGATAAACAACAACGTGAAAAACTGGAGCCATTTCAGGTGATACAGGAACAGAGAATGTTGTAATGCTATGTATCATACCTAGAACTTTCTCTGTTCCAGATTGAACAATTATACCTTTTGCCACAACCTATAAAAAATTTTAGAAAATTATTACAGAATATAATTTTCTATAGCAAAGAATTTTCAACACTATGTACTATCCTATTTTAATAAAAAAGGTTAATATGTTTAAACTCAAACTATAGAATCTAACTTACTTTTAAATGTTTTAAAGTTTCAAAAGATAACTTCATAGTTAAAAAGGAGTAAAATTTAAGTCACTTAAGATTTTCATTATTTAATGTATAGCAATACCATTACAAATCTTCAAAGATGTTTTGAAGTCATTGTAACTACAAGAACATTGGAAAAAAGTTAATGGACAAAAATTCAAATTACTAATTAACACAAAACTATTTAATATTAAAAGCAGCTCTAATTATATTAATCTAAAGCAAAAGAAACCTTTTTAAAGTAAAACTCCGCTTAGAAATTATCTCTGCTATTTTGCATTAGATATGTAAATGCAAATAATGATCTTAAACCAAGTAATAAAAATTTAAATACCTACATGTATGAATATAAAATTAAGTAGTTATTTAATTTCTAAGAGACTAACAATGGACTTATCAGTCATAGAAATGTTGCATGAATATATAAACTGGATAAAAACTGTACCACCATTTCAAAGTCTTAAAAAAGGTTTTTCGAACACATAAAATTAAATTTAATAAAAACACACACATAAAACCATGAAGACAAACAGGTAGTTCTAACTGAGATCAAACTATAAGTGTTCGGTGGTCTTATCCACTTGGCCACTGGTGGTGCTTAAATAAAATATCATTGGATTGATTATATTTAATAAAAAATTTACTTTCATACAATTTATGACTGTATGAAGCTGAATTTTGTTAGTAAAATTGCTTTAGCAATTCGTTGTAGATTACTAAAGCACAACAGTTTCTTACTACGGGAATTAGTAGTTAAAGTATTCTGCTCATAAATAGAGTTATTGGTTGATTTGATCAAGGCAAAGCGCATGGATACTATTACATAGGCAGTCAATCCTATGTCTAAAATTTTCTAGTTTTACCCAGTGTTAAGTTATTTGTGATATGGCTGTTCCTACAATCTTATTTTCATAAAGGTTAAGTTCTTTTATTACAGTGTTATATTAAAAAAATTTATTATGTTGTTGTTTTAATACCATTTAACTTTGGACTTTGACTGATGGTGCCGAACAAAAATATCATAATCAAAATCAGATAATTCAATTCAAAAACTATTTCATAATATTTCATATATCATTTCGACATTCTTATAAATATTCGTATAGTAAATCTATCAATCAATCAAATCAATCAATCGTATATCATATCTATCAATCAATCCTATAGTGGTATAGTACAATTTAACTTTTAGGTTTGCGTTGTGAGTAACCTATGTAAAGGGAAAATCAATAACTCCAAATTCAAGTAAACTCCATGTTTCTTAAAAGCCCCCCGGCTCAAATAAATGGAGGGACATGACAGACCACAGAAACTACACTAAATTAAACAAATGAAACATAAAATACATATCAAACATATTTATTAATTCTAGAATATTCAAACATATGATAACTAGGTAAAAACTGATCAGTCCCCTACAAATTAACCTTAAGATGTAAATTAACATATATATCATTTTAAATCTTATACTCATGTTAGGGTGTACTAATCTTTTTTTTTTTTTTTTACATTACATAACTAACTCACAATTTAGGCGGTTGTACCTATATTAATATAGTATCATTACTCGGTTACAATTTAAATACAAAAGACAGAAAAAAAATCACTCACAGGTGAAGTTCATATATTCAACTCCTATGCCATCATCGACTGATTAATATGGAGTGCTGATAGTTCAACAGATCGTCCTACTCATTGCGTTGACCATTTCGAAGAGATCGAGAATGCCATCATCGACGGATTAATACGGAGTTTTAGATAGTTCAACAGATCGTCCAGCGTCCGAAGTTTACTCGAGCACCACATTATTCCTGCTGTCCTTTATTCACAAAATCATCGTTCATGAGGCAGACAGTTTTCTGCGAATTTTAAAGATGACTTGGTTGCAACACCATTGAAGCTGTCCTTACAATAAATAAATTCCAGAGCATGGAATGATGAAAAAAAATCGACGCAGCTGGAAACAGGCAGAATAAACAGCAATGCACACCTTAGAAGGGTCCTACACGAGTCTCTTTCATTCTGGAAGCCCCGAAACTCACCATAAGCGTAGAGCACCTTGGAACAAAATCTAATTAGGAAGTCAAAGCCGGTAAAAAACAGGAATACCGCCATCAGGATGTCAGGATCACCAAGAGAATCTGCCGAACAATTCTTGGGATAAGAGAAATCGAAATTCTTCTGCTGAGCTCTATGCCTTATACCAACGCAAATTCTCGCCAGCTAAAAGCCGAGAGAAAAATCATACCCTCTGCTGGCTGTTCACGCGGCTCGCGAGAAGCAAGACCCGAAGGGTCAAGCCCCCACTTTTTCTCCTCTTACTCTTCTTGAAAATCAGAATCGGAATTAAACTCTAGCCTGGTGCAAGCACCCAGGAAATCTCGGTTTCTCCGCCTCTGTGAGTTCATAGGCTTTCAAAAAAATCATAAAATTAAATCTTACCAATCCCGGAATTTTAAGTTATCTAAATTGAGAAAATGACACACACACCATGACGAATCAAACACCAGAAAATCTTGACAATGAAATCCGAAAAACATCTGCACTCATAACGTGAGAAAAAAAATAGACCCCCCCAACTAACAAGTGAAAATAAGCTTTTACGAAAATCCAATTACCAGCCACCCCCACTGTCTTGAAGTAATAAAACTGCAAACTTACAAAGCGACAGGAAAGCAACTTCCGTTTCACACGCATGAGCTAAAAGGCGACATTGTTAGGTGAAACGGCCATAAACCAGATGTGTGTCCTCGCAACTGTCTCTCGCCTTTGTTACAATTCCCACTCAAGAATAATGAGTTAAATAAAACCTTAAGAGCTTAAGAATACTTTTTTTTTCCAGATCAAAATACACCTGAATACAAATAAAAATATTAGAATAATAATGACTTAAAACACATATTAATAATTGAAATTCTCGACATAACAACAGCAAAGCACTCAAAGACTTTCTTCCTTGATAGAGGGGTTTCTACAAGAAAATTATTTACACCTTCTTTACAAATGGATTTGATTTTTGTTTAATCATTTATGGTAAAGTAAACTATAAATACCTGCCTAAAAGTAGGAATGCCCTCATGGTTGAAATTTTAAGATAAACTGGTTGACGTTCATATTACACAAGGAGAAAATGAAGGAAACATCCTTGCAGGCAGTCTATTACCCAAAATTTGGATGGTATAGAAATGGGGTAACAACATTAACCCCATACAGATTTAATCTCTGGAAACCAAAAACAGGAAAACCACAGGTGTTCCAATGTCTAATCAACTTAGCCATTGGTCAATGGTATTTTACTCATATTTGTGTGTGTAAGTAATCACCTGATCTCTCTTAACACTACATATTTATATATAACTCAATATCGTTTTTACATACAATGAACAATTTGTATATACTTGAGATTAGAAAATTAATTTGTATATGTAATAACACAGCATGACTTTCGGGGATGAGTGATCTCTATTTATTACATATATTATATAAGCATATGTACCATTTTATAATTATCAGTTTGTTCTGTATAGTAATTTATAAAACGGGTTTATAAAAACACATTTATTAATTAGAGGTTTACCTCTGAAATGGCACTTATACTACTGCATAATCATTTTGCATTAGATGGGAACACCTGAACAATATCTAATCTTTTTAAAATTCAAATTTAATTTTCATTTTTCAAAAATGAATTTTCTGTTCTGAAATTTTTAAAGCAAGATATGACTGTATTCACAATAATTCAACTAATATATATATAAATTAAAAGAGAATGTTAAAGGTTTTAGCTGTCCTATTTTCTGATACTTCAGAACAAAAGCTTCTGACCTTTCAATTTAGTTATACATCTTTTTATATTGTAAAATTGATGGTGTACATTAAATTCACTTTATGACATCGTGTCATGCATATTTTAATTAAATAAATATAAATTCGTTGTAGATTATGTGCATTTAACATTATGTAAAAATTAAAACAAAAACTAATTTATGTAATATCCTTACCAAATAATCAAATGATTTTAAATAGAAATTTGTCCTGACATGAAATACAGCATATTCTCCAGCCTGCAAAATTAATGTAACACATAATGATAAAATATTTTCAAACATTAAAATACACATTCAAATAAATTAGAACTATATTTCAACGCAATTGATTAGAACTGTTGAGAAAAAGGCAGTTTAATATAATTAATTCAGAATAAAGTGTATATTTCTTTTATTTCCCAACTAAAAGTTATTAATTTGGACAGAGTTAAAGTTAAAAAGTAAAATTCATTATGAAATGCAAATATTATAAGTCATAAAAATTTATATGAAATCTAGAATAATTTTCTGCTTCAAATATTCAACAAGGGTGCTCTAAAATATTTTTTAAATGTCAAAAAATCTTCTCTCCTTTAACTTGAATTAGATGAAGTACTACTTCATAGCATCTTGTCATTACATCAGAAATTTTATCATTTCTATGATTACCTTTCCAATTTTTTATCAATAATTATTCATTGCAGAAGCATGTGTTTGATAATTTCTACAGTTCATCATTTATTCTTTTTATTTATTGCAACTGATAATTCATTTATATTCACATATGCTAATTACTGTACACAAGTCATGAGATAAATTTACATCACGTTAAAGCTGCAACAAAAACGTTATACGTTAAAGCTATTAAAAGAGAGTATAACATAGCCCTGCTACAAGAACCTTATGTTGTGGTTAATAAAGTTCGGAGAATCCAGATGATAATCAGTGGTAATAAAAACTATCCTCACAAAACTCCGGGAATGCTTTCGTATCCCTCCTCGAATATTGCGGTAATTAAAATGATAATTAATAAGAAAACCACAGTTTTCTTATTTCGGTGAATTGTCCTGCAAGTGACGACTTTAATGATTTTTTGCATCGCATCAATAGCGTTCTTGACCTGACTAATATTCCAGTGCCAGAGGCAAAAGTTGTATAGCTCTGGCCATTGTGAAATCTTCATTTGTTCTGAATTGGTCTGTTTCCATTGATATCTCATGTAGTGATCATTGCTATACTGAGATTGATCACTTACATAACTCTTCTAGAGAGAAGATTTGTGAACGATTTTACATTTGGAATTTGAATTGGGCTGTATTATGGAGTCAAGCTCGACTTTACAGAAGAAAATAAGAGAAATGTATTCATAATCAAATAGAGAAAAATGTATTAAAGATTCAATATAAAAAGAAATTGGGTGATTATAAACGACAGATTAAAACATGAGCAAGTAACTCGCATGGAAACAACTATGCGGTATATTCACTATTAATCAACCATTTGGTATTCCTTATCATATCTTTGCTAATAAATATAGACCAGCCTTACAGATCACCTCTTTAAAATACGAAGATGGATCCTTTATTAAAAATGTAGAAGAAACTGCGAATTATCTCCTACAATATCATTTTCCATGTGACAATACTCAGGATGATTTATCAATTCATCATCAGATTAGACTAGACTGTAGGATACCTCCAGGGCGATACGATAAATGATTATGACTTTACTTTGGACGAAGTAGAGTTTACTGTTAAAAAGTTGAATGAGGGCAAAGCTCCTGGCAAAGACGGCCTTTCTATGGAGATCATTCAAGAAATTTTGAATGTAATAAGTTTTTTTTATCTATTTCGAATAAATGTCTTCAAAGGGGAATTTTTCCCAAATGTCGGAAAAAAGCTGTTTTAGTTTTATTTAATAAAGAAAGAAATGATAAAAATTATCCTTCCGCTTTCCACCCCATTTGTTTGTTGTCTTCTTGGGGCAAGGTGCTGGATAAGCTTATGACACAAACATTACAATATTATTTATTAACAAATAATCAAAATCAACTTTTAAACAAGAATCAATAAAGTTTTATGTTGGATAAAAGTACTACCCAGGCTATAAAGAATTTAATTTCTGAAACCCTTCGAAATAGCAGGGAAGGGAAGGTAAATATACTGCAATTTTATCTTTAGGTGTCATTAGCGCTTTCAAGAACGTTTGGTGGCCAATTCTACACTGTAAAAAAAAAGTTCGCTCTTTACAGGCAAAAGTTTTGTAAAGTTACAGAAATCAAAAAGTTACACAAGAATTTCCTGTAATGGTAACAGGTTGAAAGCAAACTGTGGCTGGTACAGCTAATTTGCCTGTAACATTACAGATAATGTTTCAGTAGCCGCGCGGAAGAATCATGTGACTGACTGGAAATCAACCAATCAGAAGAAAAGTGTTTGAAAGCTAGTTGCAGAAAAAAACATGGCTGAATGCATGTTGGTTGTTGTATAGCGCAGGTAAGTAAGAAAATGTTTACAATTACGTTTGAATATTTTTTGTTCATTTTATGCAGATTATTCTCATGCACTTTGCAGTGTTATATGTAGTGAGTAAGTATTTAAACGTTTAAGCTTTGCGATTAATTAATATCAGTGTTCGTAATGAGTTGAAAGAGTGCAGAATATTTATTCCAAATGCAGATCTAATAGTAGTATTTTGTCATTGTGCATCCGATAAATTACGCCTTCAACTGCCCTTATTATTATTTAAAACTAATTATTCCAAAATTTAATCACTGTTTGTGGTATATAATTGAAATGGTAATGTGGTTGTTGAAAACAAAACTAATCATTTTAGCGTTCTTTTCCAATCGTCTGACCAAAGAACGTTTGACATCTTTTTCCCGGCAGGCCTTGAGAGAAACGTTTATATAAACATTTAGAATTCTGAATGTAATGTATATATTTTTTTGCTTACTAGGTTTAGTTTATTCTTTTTCTAGGATTACCTAATTAATTATACTCGGTTTATAATTCAGTCTAATATGTTTATATACGGGTTGTAGGAAAAAATGTCACCCGAAAAATAAGGAACGGAAAAAATGTCCCCCTTCGTTTGCAATGGGAAATATAAGGCATGTTTTAACATACGGTTCTAAATTAAATTGCCATGTAGGGGCAGCTTTTTGCGCCTTTTCACATGACAAATTAAGTATAGAAAAAAAAGTATAGATTATCTGATAAAACATCTGTCTATCAGGCAGAGCTAGTGGCTTTACGGGGAGGCTCTGTATTGGCTCATTCCAAATTTCCCACAAGATCCTGTAGAGATCTATAGTGATTTTCAGAGCGCTATTATTTCAATTACGGACTTTCATCCTAGCAACTACCTACTAGAAGCAGATATAAAGGACATAACTCTTCTTTATCGCCTCCTTTAAAGATGTTAAACTCTTTTGGACGAAAAGCCATATCGACACTATCCGTAATGAGCTAACCGAAAGACTGGTGCAAAGTCAAGTTATACATTTTGATTTAAAACCTCTTTTTATTACTTGAAATCCTTGATGAAAAAACGAAGTATACCTTCTTGGCAGACAAGGCGGAATGATTCTGATTCCAATGGAAGGTTCGCTTACAATTTAATTTCAATAGTAAGAGAAAATCGGTATATTACCGACAAGTATCTTAATCAAGGCCTTGACTCATCATGCACATTTTCCATCTTACTATGAAAGGTTCTCGATTAAAAATTGTACTTTCCCTTGTGGTACAAGAAATGCTAATTTAGAGCACCTGTTATTTAGTTGCTCCGCTATGAAAAATATTTTACAAAGATTTATCCCTAATATTGTTAAATTTAATACTTTGATTTATGTAAAAATATGATTTCTGAATTAAGATTGTCAAATTTCGTAAAATATGTGTCTGTAAACGAAATGGAATACCATATTGAATGAGTTGAGGATATTCTGTCTGTTTTATTTAAAACTAAAATGTTCATATTTATATTGTTAATTTATTCTTTTGTACATAAGTAATATGTGTATTGTACATTTGGGTAACACGTGTTTTATTTTATATAACAAAGTTTGTAATTAAGTGTTATTTGGAGTGGCTTGTAGATCTCACCAGTCTTGAGAGAACAAGTTTAAATCTGTAGCAGTTAATCTTTTTTTTTAAGTCGTTCTAAAACAGTATTTTGGCTGTTCTGCTGTTTGTGGGCCTGGATGGTCCCGTTTTAGTATTTAATGCCTTTTTATTGCTCTACCAAGCCCTGTTAAACCCCTAACGGCGGTACAGGTAATTTTGAGCAGTCATATATTACTTCCAATACACTTCTTCGACAACATTCTCAGTGATGAGATGGCTAAATGTTTGTCGGGTTCGGCTATTCACGATGAATGTTTAAAGAGCAAGTGTCTGATCATTGGAAGAGGCAAAAACTTTCGATATGCTTAAAATATATTTTACAGTGGAGACTTGCCAAATTGCTAAAAAAATTTAACAAAAAATTAACACCTTATAAAAGCTGGTAATTAAAAGGTTTTGCACATAATCCTAACTCTTTTGAACAAGCAAACTTTTTAAAAACACAAATACTTTTTAAAGTGATATGAATGATGGGCCACCGAGTTTTGATTTTGAATGTTTACTCAAACATATTTACATGATTATAAAGAATCTAAAAGAACTGGTTTCATCTGATTTTCAGCACATCATATGATTAATTCAATCAAAGCCCAATTTTTAACATTTTATTGCACCTCAAATTCTTATAATTTATTCCATGCAATTTGCAACTGTAAAAAAAATGCAGTTTTTTAAAACTTTATATAGATATGTTTCAATGAAGAAGAAAAGTTACATTCACATACCTGGGCTTTCTTAGTACTTGTTGAAATTTGTAAGAGACGATCTTTATGGCCATATTGAGCTAAAACAGTCAGTTCAGTTTTTGCGTTGGTCTCTCTATCATTATCATCTTCATAATAAGCCTAAGAAGGAAGTTTCCATTAATAAGTAGTAAATAAAAATATTTACTCTGAAAATAGATATGCAGTTCATGTAAGAATTTAACTATTGAATATTTCTGAAAACAAAATCTCATTTTAAAAACTTTTATAACCTAAGTCAGGGGTTCTAGCTATACCATTCATTCGGACCCTTTCCCCAACATTTTCTTTTTTCATCTTTTATTATGAAAAAATAGACTATGATTAAGTACATAAACCCTTATATTGTTCTAAATATTAAAAAAAAACATAAGTAGAGTCAGTGAAAAAAGTTCAGAACATAACTCATGAGCAGGTTGATGCTCATTAAACCATGTAAACTAGAATGAATGTTTCTTCAAAATTAATTTTTATTGAGCAGCATTTTTATTATCTGTAAGCAGCTAGCCCCTCTTGAAGGAATTTGTGGTTGAAAATTAGATATTTAAACATTCAACTTTATTGTCATTTGCTTAAATCTTCCAAAAATGTTTGGCCTTGACAATTTTGGAAACCAAGATGACTGAGCAAATGTTATTTATCTGAGATATTCTCGCACTTTATTATTTACAATGTACGTCTTTCAATGATATATGAAAGGGAAACAGATAATAGATATACATATCTGCTTGATTTCTTCTTGAAAGAATAAAAGAAGGTTTATAATTGGCTGCCACCTTCAGACAAAACAAAAATGTATTCGGTACAAAGCACATACATTATTATGAAGACCTTAACATTAGATAGTATTAAAAGCACCCTGAAATCAAAGCTCATAAAATTTTTTCTATCAATATCGTAATTGAACAGTTCTTTAAGTAATACACACATCTATTTATTTTACAGATGGAAAGCAACAGGCATTCTGATATATTAAAACATAATAGCATCCTAAGTAGCACACGACGTTGCAAACTGGTCCGAGAGGTTGCAACGTGGTCGTGGTAACTTTTACGACGTCTTCACAACGTTGCGAAGACGCAAAATATTTGCTGTTGCATCTTGGCAATTTATCGACGTCGCTGAAACGTCATGATATGAGAGCTTTTAGACGTGGTCGTTTTAGCATTTCTTTCATATAGTTCATCAGCGTTACTTTTAGTATGAAAAAGAGACTAAATCTGCCCTTTCAGGAATCTGAAGTCCGCATAAGATTTACTTTGCAATGTTTCATTACTTTGTTTCATCTAAATATATTAATCTAAGGTAGATTCATCTATTGAAATATAAATTTAATATAATACTTTTGATTTATTAAATTTAATTAGTACTAAAAAATACGTGCTAAATAATTGTTTTAAAATTTTGTTAAAATAATTAATACTTAAAATATTTTTTATAAATATTATAACAAAATATTTTAAAAATGAAAACTAATCTATAAAGTAAGTTATTAAGTTTTTTGCATTTTATATATTTTAAAAAAATCATATTTCCGAAATCAGTGCAAATCACATGTTAGCAATTATTTCACTACTGAAATATGACTTTATTATTTTTGAAGTGAGGACGAATTTATTTGAATTAATATGGTGACATTATATGAAACATTTTACCGCATACAGTGCGTAAAGTACAATTTTTCCGAAGATATGATTGTGCGTGAAGATGCATTCACGGATAAAAATGGGGCGATTTTAAGAATTCCGAGAAAACGTCCAATGTTAAAAGACGAGGCATATTTAACGGCTGTCCAATATATATGACGGAAAACTCATCGACAGTCAGGAGAAGCAGAACGGCACATTATTTACTGGATGCTTATATAAATGAACATCTCAAGATTTGCGCGCTTTGGCTAGCTGCCAAATTCGAACATGTAACTGCGCAATTAATTGAGATTCAAGCAGTTTTTTCAAGTATCTGTAAGGCGTTTGAAAAACCTGACTTCATGTTTGAAATTGAATCAAGCAATGACTGATATAAATAATACTGCTTATATTAAAAGTAACTGTAATGCACTGTCAATCAAACAACGCATCGTGAATCTTCTCATTGTTCCGTATCTACTTACTTCAACTGCCTTCAGTGAGTGAAATTTCATTGCTGTATGCTCCTGTTTGGAAGCCTCTGAATTTGTGTTTATTTTGTTTGTGAATATCTTCTCTACGAGAAATGCTACAATGCTAATCGTGAATATAATGTTCATGAAATAGTGTTGTGTTTTGGTGTTTTATGTGTTTCGGCGGTGTTCTTCAATCTCTGTGGTTCCAGCGGTGCAATATTTGGAAACCCTTATTAGCTTTGTGCTTCGGTTATAACGTCCTAAGTGCTATATCGCATATCATTCATATTAATCGATTATTATGTTCATATTGAAAGGTTGGGTCTCAGAATTAATTCATATAAAACCAAAAATAACATAACGGTAAGGCACTTTTTGGTTTTGCTGAAAATGCAATTAATACAGAAGCAACAACAATTCAAGCTGTTATGGTATGTTCATTTTTTTTTTTCAAAATACAAAGAAATTCTTGGACTGGTACCAGTACTTAATATGACAGCTGATTAATATATTAATTATTAAGCTTATTTTCTCGATAAATCAATATGTAACACAAGGGCATAATAACGACATTTTCACAACTGTTGCAAAAAGCTGGAATTTTGCGAACATTTAATCGTCGTTAAGACGTCGTGATACGTTGCTTTCACAACCAAAATATCACCTGCGAAAGACTCAATAACGACGTTTATGCAGCAAAAACCTCATCTGCAAAGACGTAATAAAGGCGCCTTTGCAACGGTTGCAAAACAGTAGAGTTTCGCGGACATCTGGGCGTCTTTAAAGACGACATATTGCAACGTTTTTGCAACACGATTCGTGACCAATTTGCAACGTCGTTACGACTTTGCTGTGCTATTTGAGATTATATGTGTTTTAGAAAGACTGCTTATATAAAGTAATTTAAAGGGAATTGACTTGTATATGCTTGACACATGAAGAAACTTATGACAGTTCTCATTTTTTCAGCCTATTTTATTAACAAAAAATCAAATACGCTAAAAACATTTATTATGTTACAATAGTTTTCCTTACTGGACTCTGAACAGATTAGCGCAAGGTTTCTTTAATTTAATGCCTGTTACAATGAAAAACTGCTATAACTTTTCCTCACAGATAACTAGTGATTAGAGTTGGATCTGTTTTTATGATTCCCTGCCCCTGGAAATTTTGTTTACAAAATGTTTCCAAATTTTGCCACTGAGAATTTCTTATTCAGAATGCATTTATTTAAAAATCATTAACAATACTTTTAAAGCCTTCAAGATTTCCAAAATACAAAGCATCAGGCTATGCTTCAAATATTCCATGAACGCAATTCCTTCCTCCGTGTGGAAACATGAATAACTGACAGAATATAAAATGACAGAAATGCATAAAGCTTTAAGCATTTTCCTGATGTGGAACGCATTATTTCAGAGGAAGAGAATATTTAAGTATTTTAGGAAACAGCTTTAAAACAATGTATTAGTCACCTCATCACTAATATAGAACCATACTGTATTAGATAACTCATACTGTATTAGAGGGCACATCAAAATATTTTGAGGCATTGAGGTAAAGCAAGACCCAAAAATAAAGGTTGAGAAATATTGTTTTAGATGTAGTGCAATAGTAAGCAATACTGAATTCAAAATTTTAACAAATTTTCAGCTAAAGAACCTTACTTCATTTAAACTTTAGTTTTTCATTTATTTGAAGCCTTTTTTCTTTCATATTTACGTTTTATTTACTCCTAAATTAAAAAATAAAATATATCTGAAAAATAAGGAATGCTGAATAAACCTTCGTATGTCATTAGTTTTGTTAAATTTAATAATCATTTTGTAATTCATTTGAAAAGATGTGATTACAAATATATTTTTTCAGAAGCAAAGAAAACGAAATAAAAAATTTAAATTACTTATTTCACCTGAATAATAAGCTTTTCTGCATTTTGGGGGGTATCAAGAAGTATTTCAATAACACCTTCTCCATTAAAGTGAAGTTCTTTTTCAGGCATTTCCCGTCGTCCTGCTCCTGTTATAACTAAAGGATATATGACGACTTTTGAACTTGTAAGTTTTTCTGGAGGTAGAGGCACAAGGTCATGATATGACACAGCAATCTCAAAAAAAAAAAAAAAAAAAAAAAAAAAAAAAGAGAACAAATAATCAAATATTTTCATTTTGAAACTTGAAATCAACATGTTAGAAATATAAAACCAGTCGCGAAAGAAAATTCCAATTATTTAAATATGCCCGAAATAAACTAAAAAGTGAAAAAACATAAATCACTAAATTGCATTATGTTTATTAAGCATAAAATAAGTACAATGTAATAAAATAAGAAGCTATATAACCAGAATCAAAGGATAGCAATATTAAAATCATGCAAAAATTTTTCAAAATATAGTTTAAGTGCAAAATTTATTTATTATGAAAATGGAATAAACATGGAGTTTAATAAACTATCAGCAGTATTCTGGCACATAGAAAGGGCAAACAATGGTATCCCCAAACATACAATCTCAAAACGAGCTCAAAACTTCTAGCACCTTAACGGCATGCGGCATAGAGTTTCTATGCACAGTCAAACCTTCTCCGTGCAGGTTTTAACAAATGTGCAGGCTATTTATGAAATAAAATATATATATGTACGTATAAAATAAAAATTTGCAAAAAAAAATTAAGGGAAATTTGAAAATATTTAAATAAAACTTTTGCGTAAATAACATAATATTAAATCTAAGTAAATTGATGCCTAATATTATCAGTGCATTTATAATAAGTAATCATAATGCCTAAATATAAAAAATATTTACTAAAGACATATTTCACCTAAAAAGGCAATTTATGTAATTTATAGAATCTTTTTAATCAGCAGCAAAAATATTCGAATGGTAATAACAGTACAAAATGCGATAGTGTAAAAGATGATAAACGGGTTTTCGGTAGTGGTTACAGCACCGTTTTTTTCGGCAGCTAACAAGATAACAAATTCATTGTTATTTATTCATATAAGAGGGGGGACAAATATCGAATTAAATTAATGTAATGGAATTTTTAGATGCAGTTAATACTATATATTATTATTTAATGCCGTAGTTTTAGTTATTTTCTTGTGCTTGGCTGTCAAAGTAAAAATGGAGAGATATGAAGGATATATTTTTATTGTCTAATATAAATGGGCCTGTCCTGAACATAATGAGAAAAGTGATGAACTGGGTTACTATGTATTAATTTCCAGTACTACTCCTTTAATAAAAGTTTTACTAGTTTGGTTTATCTGTTATGTCATAGAAAAATATAAAAATTTTCAAAATTTGCACAATATTAAACTGTGTAAGCAGTAACTGAATTAAAAATAGTATAATGGTACCAAAATAATAATTTCCTTGAACATGGTTCATATTTTATTTTTAACATAAATTCCTCAAAAGCAATTTTGTTCAGAAACTTCTCACATTCATTTTATTCTTAATTAACAGTCTGATCTTTCAAAAGATAACCATTTATTTCTTTAAGTATCCAAATAGTAAAGCAACTCAAATGCGGTACTTAAAAATCAAAATAAAGATCATCATACACACACCATCTTTAAGCAAAAGTACCTCCTTTTTTTAAGGTTAGTGTTATTTATAACTTCATGGGTAAAATCTTAACACGCTAAAGGAGTGGTAATTAAGCTCCTGATTGAGATGGCAATGGACAAAGATTATGTAAACACGACTAAATGGGTCTTTGAATCGTACTAAATTGATATTTCTGTTTTAGGGCATGAATCAAATACCGTAGGCCTTTCATATTTATTACGTAGCATCTTTTAGTAAAAATAAATTTAATTTTTTATACGGGTCCTGTGAAAAGAAGTGTCCAGATAGCACGTTTTCTTTATCCCGTTAAAGACGGATTAGAAAACTGTTCCGAACTATAAAACATTGGCCTTGCAGGGAAAACGTACTCGTAAGTAATTGAAAGAGAATCTCAAGACCTTACTTCCTTCATTTCTAAAATTTCAACTATGAATCGAATTTAGTCTTTTTTTTTAAATACACTGCGTTAGTTAATGAAATGCATTTCAAAATTTATTCATACTGCTATGATGTTCTGCTACATTTTTACTGTTTTGAATGATGGTTTTATAGAAATGTTATCTTCATTAGAAGTCAAAATTTAATTAATTTATATCTGAGTGAAATCAACTCAAATTTAAGTGACAAATATTCCAAAACTGTACTTTCATCTGACAAATGGATTGATTCCGTTAGAAAACAGAAACATGAAGGAATAAATACAAAATTTTCAATAATTTCTAGGTTAAATTTAGACTTTTCCTTCTCAAATTGAAAAGAAAGTTTAAAGGAAGTTCCAAGAATGAATTTACCATATTCATCAGCTTAATGTAAAAGTTTAGCGCAAACATTACCAGAATACATCAAATGCATTTTAGCTGTAAAAAAAGTCTTTAGTTATTAAACCTCGTGTGCTCTATGAGAATAATATTAAATTAAAGAAAAAATATATTTGCGTAAAACATGAATCACATACTGCAATAGGAACTTACATGAGTTTTGAATGGCATCCCTGGCTTAAAAACTTGAGGATTAACTCCTAAGAAGTGCAGAGATATACTAGAATTTACCACTCGAACTCGTGCATATGCAGAAACAAGAATATCATAGAAGCGTTCTCCGACAATTGCTTGGACTTCAATTTCACAGTACTCCAAAGGAACAGGCACTGCAAGGTTTCTCAACTCTGACATTGGAATGCTAAAATCGTATGTTCCATGGAACTATCGGAAAATATTATTTTTAATTTCACAAAATTTACAACATATATGCATACATGAAACACACATTACGATAATACTACATACACATTTATAAAACAGGTGTTACATGCATTAATATAAGTGACAATTTGCTTGAAATACTATATGACATTCCTAAAAATAATACACAAAGTGCTTCTAGCTCACATAGTTTGAAAATAATGTTTCACGCCATGCATGTAAATAATTGACAATATTTATTAAAAATTTTTTTAATTTGAGAAAAATTAATCTTACATTGACATTCCTTTCAAAGATATGCTCTATGCTTTTCAAAAGAATCTGATTCAGGCTTTTCGTTTCTAGGAATTCTGTCGATTGAAGAAATTCTACAACCCAAAGCTGAAGGAACCAAATTTATACGAAATTGGACTTCTTTTAGCTGATTCATATGAGGCTAACTGATAATGAGACAGAAGTCCTTTTTTTTTTTTTTTTTTTTTTTTTTTTTTTTTTGCATGTGTAAATGAAAAGGGAGAGAATTTCCCTTAAGAAGTTTTCCACAAACGCCTTTTTTTCTAGATAGCTTTCTAGTTACTTTACCATAATTTACGTTACCTTGCCTGTGTGGAAATCTTTTCATTTCTGAGGCAGAATCATGAACATAGGCGAAACAGATAAAAATATATTTTCCGAAAAGTAAAATCTTTGAACTATGGTGTAATAAACTTATTTTAAAATATTTTCAAAAATCCCATAAAAGGGGTTTCTTTGCCTTGCTTTATAAATCACAAATCTACCAAAAAATGAAACTATCCTACTTGAAAGTAACACTTTAATTAAATAACCAACTAACTTCTTGAAGAAAGTAATCCTATAGCAGATTGTCTTGAAGTACATATTTCATAAAATTGCACCAAAGGTTAGAATTTACCTAATTTTAAATTCAGGTTGATTTACTTTTCTTACTTAAGTAGTTTCAGGCTCATATTTGTTAAAAGTAGGAGTAGAAACACGTTTCACAGTAGGTTACTGTTTATTAAAGACAGAAAAGATCACAGTATGGTCATATTTGTAAGGAGAGAAACAAGGTTGTTTAAAAACGCTATTAAAGCTTCTTTCGATTCAACTAGCAGATGAACTTTTGAAGTAACAAATATTTACCAATATCATGTAGTTGAGATGATACACGAATTTTGCATGTGTGCATATTACACTGAACCCATGAAATAGGCAAGAAACCATATAAAGTGTCATAGAAATTTAACTCACTATTTTATCTTTATTTTCACTTCTACTTTCGTCGGCTCTCACTTGGATGCAAGGTACAAGTAACATGTATACAAGAACAGAGTTCTTGAAATTAGGGAGTGGGCCACGTCCGGAATTAACCCGGACAGTCTTGGTTTTTTAGTGCTATCAGTGAAAATATCTCGTCTAAGACAGCGCCCCAGGGAATGGGTTCGAGGGTCTCCCACCACACCACGAGAGGGCTTTCGGATTGTCATATATTTTGAGTGCCCCCAAGCAGCACAGGCAAAACACATTTAGAACAGCCATGCCTTCTCCAGAATTCGAACCTAAGCCCTTCGATACGGCAGTCAGTGTCAGTAACCATTATACTGTCAGGGCGGCGAAATAAAGAAGTTCATTGTAAATGTATAATGCAACTTTATTACTTTACTTAATATTGCCAGTGTCTTCTTATTTTTAACATGTAAGTTAAACATGATCTTATTTTATTACGTTACATGAATATCGCATTATTTATAGCGTTCGATATAAAACGCATGTTTCACTTAGCCATGATAGGTAATACTATGTATATGATCTGAAGATAAGGGCACTTCTACTGTATTATAAAACTTCGAAAAAGGTACTTATTTTTGTAGTACATTTGCTTACCAGGTCGACATATTCCTCCAGATAGCGATCATTCCAGTTTAGTCCCATATCTTGATATTTGCCTAAGGGTCTCAAGAATGTTTTAAGGGTAATATTTCCAGTTACCGTTGCTACGCTGGTGTAATTGGCCAAAATCTGACCTTCGAGATACTCCTCCGAATTAAGAATAAAAGTAGGAGTACCAACATTTACGTCAAATCTGTGACTGAACCATCTTTCAAGAAGAACCTTACTTTCTTCAGTTTGCCCAAGAGCTACGACTCGGATTGTCCACCATCCTTCGGGAAAGTCGTATGGCAGTTCAAATTCTAAGTTTACGATTCCTGAAAAGTTCAAAAAGAGTATTAATACTTTGTGACATTATAGAAGATAATTGTTATAAAGTGTGATATGTAGTCGATATTACCTAGATAAGGATACACAGACACCCAGCGTTTCATTACGAAACTTCTTGAATCCTTAAAGAATAAATTTTGTATGAAAACCTTCATCACATAACTCAATTCTGAAAGGCTTTAAAATTACATTACAGTACAAAAAATTTCAATATTAATTACTACAAAAATTTTGTATTCTAGAAAATGTGTAGAAACAAGCATAGTGTCATATGTTATAAACTAGATGGTCCAATGACGATACTACAGTGCTAGATGCTACAATGAAGAAAATTTATTATAATTTCAGATCATTATGTGTTAGCATTTTCAAGCTTTTCATGTCATTTCTTCGGTTTATCATATCAGTCTTCATCTTTATCAATAATATGGCTTTCGCATCATTTGTTTGATTAACTTTGCTTCAACAATAGTATACAAAATTTCGACGTGTTCTAATACACCGACTGTTCTCTTTCATTATTGCATTTTCTGTCCTAGAACAACAATCGTTATTTCTGTCTCTCTCCTATCCCTCTATTTGTGGCTACCCTTCTACATTTAAAACCTAATAATACAGTTTGTGTTACCCTCTACTTTATACATTCGCTATACTATTTCTTTAAATATAACACATGAAATAAACATCCTTTCAAACATTAATGAAATAAAATTCTAAATATCGCCAGATTAAAAAAAAATGACAATAATCCTGAGCTTAAATTCAGTGCAGTCCACCAAAGCTCAGCTCCGGAGTTTCTCAGCTTTTGAGTGAAATCGTAATTTCAACTAGAGTCCCCCAAAAATATGAACTTCCGTATTTTAATAATTTAGACTTCCGTATTTGCCATTAATTTAACTTAAATTTTTAGTTTTTCTAACATTAATTAAAATTACATAAAAAGAATGCACATTATTCTTTTATTTTAATCATTTACTTTCGTTATCTTTCCTAAAAATCTCTATACTGCTCCGCCATATTAAATTTTAAAATATTAAATACTAGTTTTAACGTGTGGAAGAACTTCATCTTGCTAGTTGGAGAGAAGGAATCAAACTCTTTTAATTTTCTTTTAAATCACTCAAAACGTAAAAAATATCCTCAATTTGAACAGAAACAATTTTTTAAAACAAGGGGTGTCATCTTAATGCCTTCGTATAATTTTAAAAATTGGAGAAAATTATTATCATTTTTTAACTAATTTTTAAAGCAAAACTCTTATGAACTGTTTTAATCTGTAGCTATGCCGTGAATCATTGGCTTTTAAACGAAATGAGTTGCAAGCTGCCACGTCCTCTGTCTTTCTGCTCACCCCCTCCCCATGACAAGGGAACAATGCATACTGTCAAGTGTACTGCATTAGTAGAGCTAAATAAACTCTGTCACAAAAATATATATGCACCCAAAAGAAAACAAACTACTATCACAAAACTTAACACGTGTGGTGTAGTGTATAAGGAGATAAACGATTACAAATTCAGAACAAAATATCATTTTATTAATAAGTCTCGGCAAGAGAAAGTTACAATTCAGTATGTAGTATAGCCACCCTCTGGCAGCCATACAAACCGAAACAAGGCAAGGAATCGAATCAATTTCACCTATGACCTTCTACGAATGATCATGCCATAATCTTTGCAACTGGGCAGTTAATTCACAAATATTCTTGGACGGCAGCAGTTGTCTTCCAAGTATATCCCAAACATACTCTACTGGCGAGAGGTCTGGTGACTTGGTAGGCCATGAGAGTACGTCATATCCTTGAAGACATTGCTAGGAGTGTCGCGCAGTGTGTGGATGAGCGTTGTCTTGCTGATAAATGGCACTTGGGGGACTTGATAGCATAGGCAGTACAAAAGGCGCTAACCTGCCGTCCTTGTAAATGCGAGCCGCCATAGTGCCTTGAAGGATGACTAGAGCGGATCGTGTGTCCCGAAGAATCGCTTCTCACGCTGTCACTCTGTAATCGACGTATGCCGTTCAAAAACAAAGGCCGGATCGGACCGCTGGCCTGCCCACTTCCAGACGCGTGTGGGTTGGTCATCAGCACTGAGACTGAATCGGGATTCATATCTGAAGGTCACACGCCTCCAGTCAGCCACATTCCAGTTTGCCCGAGTTCGGCGAGACACTGCCGATAATGTGGGTTCAGTGATAGGCGTCTTTATGGGTGTAGACAGCATATACCAGCGTCGGCCAGTCGTCTTCGAATAGTTTCCCTTTATACCACCGGATGCCTGGTGGGTGGTAAACTGCGTGGTATCGATGCTAGCGACGTTGTAGGTACGGAATTGGTCGCTCTTATGTTTGCGCGATCCTTGAACTCATTTGTATGCCTGGGATGCCCTGACCCTCCGCGACGATAGACTATCCTTTCTGTAATCCATTGTCGCCAACACCGAGCAACTGCCATATCGGTTCAACCAAGGTAGAGGCCAATACGCCTGTTGGACAAACCTGCTTCTCTGAGGCCTACTATACGGCCCTTCTCAAAGTCTGACATCTGTTTGTACTGCCGCCGGTTAAGTCTCAGAGGCATCTCTAGTCCCAATACCCTCCACCCAAGTCGACAGATTCGTTTGAATAGCACAGCAAGAGCAATTATGCTTTTAAACTCTTCCAGCTGAGCATCTCATATGTGCATAGCCCACTTACCCTTGTCTCATCGGCGTCGAAATTTAAATCATTTCCATAGCTCTTACTAGACTGCACTCGAGCCAAATTTCGTGATTATGGCTCGATTTCTTTTGGGTGCATTTTTTTTTTTTTTTTTTTTTTTTTTTTTTTTTTTTTTTTTTTTTGTGAGAGAGTGTATTTTACACGGCCAAAGGGAATCTTCTTCCTTTCCTTCGTTGATGCAACAAATTTGGAGAAATTCGCCCAATTACAAGACATCACATTATAACTACAAGGAAATTTATTTATTACGCTAGGAGCAATTTTCTGCTCAGAGGTGTACATTATAATCTATACAGGGTGAATTTGAACAAGTAGCCAAAACTTAAGGAGGTGATAGAAGAACGAGCAATATTCGTCCCAGAATGCAAGCTGTGAGACGTTAAAGAATAGTTTTCCACTATGACATTTAAAGAATTTACGCAAGAATAAGAGGAGATACTTCGGAAAATATTGTATTAACAGGAACGTAACTGATGTACTTGCTCAAAGAAATTGCTCAAAAGACCTTCCGCCAGCTGTAAGTCCAAACACGAGAGATCTGGTGATCTTGTTGGCCAAACTATGGGACCATCTCCACTAATCCATCAGCCTGCCTGGAAATTTCGTAGTTCGTTTACCAAGCCATCCTCTCGGCAATCCACGATAGAAAATGCCATTAGGCGCCAGGGTCGACCCATTTATACTTACAATGCCACCTAACGGCTTGCCGTTTGCATTCCGCCCATACATTCTATGACGAATATTGCTCGTATAACTTCCTTCTATCACCCCCTAAAGTTTTGCCTACTTGTTCAGAAAATTAACCCTATATTTAATTTAAGTCGTTGGCTTATCCTTATTTATGAGCTTTTTATCAGAGTTCCATATGACAGTTTTATATTTATAGGACTAGGTTTGGTTTAGTTGATTGTGGCAAAGTACACAAGAGTTATCTGCCTGAAGGAAGGGATGCCTTCGGGAAGGGCATTTTAAGGGAAACTTGCTCGTATACACGTCGCACATGGATAAAACCCCGAAAACGCCGATACAGCCAATCCAGTTCTCTTGAACTCGGTGAAAACTACCAGTGTTCATCGAGTTTATTGCTCTGCCGCTGATGGGTCTATTTATAGGGCTAAGCGTAGTGTTTTCGTCTAAAAATCTGAAGTATGACTGAAAACGAAACTGAGATGGAATTTTGATTTTTCTGTTAGGAAGGGGAAAGTACTTAAAAGTGACAGACCTTTCCATATTTTAACAGACATGCGCAGTAAATTCAAAGATAGAAATAAAAAAAAAAATTTAAGCTACATAATATAAGATAAATCCAGCAGTTTAGATGTTCCTGATAATAGAGAAAGCTTTTTTTTTTTTTTTTACTAGTCTTTTTCCCTTGCTCGATAGTGACAGAATAAATGCTTAATCTAAGGATGAATTTAGAAACTTTATTGTGTTATTAATATCTGTTTTAAGACATGAAAAGCCCCACTGTTATTTTAGAAAAAGTTCAAAGCTTTTCACACATAAGTGATCAAGTAGAGATCTTTATTTAAATCAGCCTGAGAAAATATCTGTGAAGCTTTATAAAGGTGAAGTAATGAATGTAATGAAATTTTAAATCGACTAATAAATTGTATAATTTCTTTCGAAAAACCAGAGCTGTCACTTGATTAGTCTACTGATGCCATAAACTAGTAAATATATAAAATAGGTAAATCTAATAAGATACGAGAAAGTAATCAAAATTTTTGCGGAACGTTTTCTTTCATTCAAAATTATCTTTCAGACTGCTGTTCTGAAATTTGTATGAACTTTAGAACTGCATATAGGAAAGTTTATTTGAATCAAAAAGCATAATCAGCCAGTACACACACACAAAAAAAAATATTTCCTGCCCCTAAAAGAATGCATATTAGAAAATGGGAAAACATCCAATGGGAAATGCGAAAGATTTAGTAGTATTCAACCCATTAGGAGTGAAATCTAAAGACTGATTCACTAATTTTGCTAATATTAACGTTGGCTACACTGCACCGTAAAATGACCCTCAGAACTCAAGACAGATCAACAGATCATTAATATAGTAGATTGATTATACATGAACATACACTAAAATGAGATTTTCGTAAACCAAGTAAAATTTATTTGCGACTACGATATAAGCTGCTAATGAATCTTAACTGATTTTATAATTTTGCAAAGATTTACCGCTTCAGGCCAAAAACTAGTGATTTTTAAATTATGTGCTTTCTAAGAACAAGCTATAGAAGCAAATTTTCCTTTAAATGGTATCAATTATTTTTATTATAGATATCATAGAAATTCTGCCGAGGAAGTGTAAGAAAATTCTTTCCAGAAAATCCTGTTTTCATTTTCTTAAAGCTACATTTGTTATCTTAGCATAATTTATTATTAGATGGCGCTA